ATTTTGGTACATAAGATGTAAAGTTTTAAACATTTAAGTATCCGAGTAACGGTTAATGTGATATCCAACTCAGTATTATTTGTTATTCAACCCAATTTCATCCCATCACTCGCCAATTCAGCATTGTAACCGGTTAATGTTTCAACCGGTTGTTCGAGTACTTAAATGTTTAAAACTTTACATCTTAGATACCAAAATGAAAGTTTTGAAAGTACATTACCCGAAATAGGAATCAAATTAAAGTACGTTATTTTTTCATGTAATTTGTCTTTGGCATTTTTCTCTAACCTGACCCTACTTAATTTGTTTTACGTTTATAAACTACTTTATCAAGCATCCGCTGATCTTTCGATCAACGCTTAACATATCAACTAGTAACCAAAGAGTCTTTGACCTAGCAGTACGTGAATCTTTGACTTTGTAGGAGGTCAAGGATTCAGACCTCATCAAATATGAGGAGGATGTATGAGTTTATTTATTCTATTTTTTTTTAAATTAATCAGTTAAAAGTTGGATATTTAAATAATAATAAAAAGGACAAGATATCTTGTTCTTAGTGGTACCATCATATGACATTAACCAGTGCACATGCAATTGAATTCTTTTTTCAGGGCACACAAATGGAAACTATGGCCCATTTTGGACTCATCAAAACCTTCTATTGTACCGTACAACCTCTATATGCACATAATATTATATAGACACATCTTTTTGAGAACTCTCTAAATCGTGATATTTTTTTGAAAATCAGTGTATCATGTGCTATTTTATCTGGGTTTTTTTCATTCATGGTTAAAATTTAAAGTAGTGATTAACAATATTTGTTTTATATGTACTCGTTTTACAATACAAATCTTTTTGGCGTGTTTGTGAAACAATAAATACATGTAAAAAAGTTTCACACTGTAAACCGAGTACATGTGAAACAAACACATTGTGGAATAAAATTTATACGTAAAGAAGTTGCACATTGTAAACTGAGTACATATGAAACAAATATATTGTGAAATGAACATATGTTAATCAATACATTAAATATTAGATTGGTATAGAAAAAAAATCATGTGAATTTTTTTTTTAAGGTAGAAGTTCTCACGGATCTCATAAATTTTGGAGTTCTCAAATAATTAGTCCTCATATTATAGGGTTGAGTTCTGATGAGAATGAGATTTAAGGTGAGAAACGTAATAAGGGATCTTCACCCTTAAATGCACAATAGGACACCTAGATGCACCGGACCAGGTCATGTATCATGAGCACGATTCATGAGTAGATTTGAGATTTAAGGTGATCAGGGGTCCAGATGCATTCTTACACTTCTCACCTTACACTCCCTTTCACACGATCATTTACTCCATATTATATATATATATATATATATATATATATAGTTGGGATCCTGTGAGAAAGGAAGTTATATTGAAAAGGGTAAGAAGAAATCTCCATCATTGAATTAGTCATAATTGAATATCAACACTAATAAGGTGCACCGAGATGAACCTGATCAATTCCATTCTAAAAAGTAATTCATGGGCGAAGAATCGTGTGAGAAGGAAGTTATAGTGAGAAGTGCAAAAAAAGATCTAAACCATTGATTACTTTTAATCTTATACCTACACATGAATTGCACTTTAGAAGAGAATTAATCCAGTATATCTCGGTGCACCTCATTACTTGTCGACATTCAATTAGGATTGATCCAAGTGTGGAATATATCTTCTTACCCTTCTCACCTGAACCTAACTATATAGGGGCAGGTTCAAACGAGAAGGCAGTCAATTTGCAAGAAAACGAGAAAGAATATAGGCCACATAATCCATTAGTTAAAAATTACATTAAATAAGAAAATAAAAAAATAATTTTAGAAATTAGGATAATTATCATTTTGAATCAGGTGAATCCTTAAAAATCTTAATATATTTTTTATATTTATTTATTTTTTTAATTTTAACTAATTCATAGTTTCTTATCAAGTTTTATATAAAAATAATTCAAGAAACATTTTTGATAAAAATAAAATCACAATTTTCATCAAATATTACATGTGATATCTATAATTAATTCATATGTGATAATTGTAGATATTTTTGCTAATCATATGTGATTATATATACTTATATTTATTGATCTTTTTGTGATGTAAATATTATCACATATGATAATACGTCATTTGTATTCAGATGTATATTATCATATGTGATATATATAAAAGTTCACATAGTGGAACATATATGATACACAACAAATCATATGTTAAATGGAGCTAATCATATGTGATTCAAACCATGGATCCAAAAAATATAGAAAAAATGGTGAAAAAGATAATAAATTGATTGTGGATATCATGCATGATATTTGATGAAAATTGTGAATTTTTTCTTATCAAAAGTGTATCTAGAATATATATATATATATAGAGAGAGAGAGAGAGAGAGAGAGAGAGAGGTGAGTTATTATACAACCATTTACATTTGTATAACCAATACAACTCAATCTCAACCGTTCATTTAATTTGATGAATATGTGATTTCATAGAAGTTCTGATTGTTTCCTAATATAAAGCATTGATCATAATGAACCTTATTCATCTTTCATAAATATTCAAATCATAATAAATGAACTATCATCATTTCCATAAATATCTTAATTTATTGGGTTGCATTAGTTGGACAAATATGATGTGTTGCATTTGAAACGATCTTTCTCTCTCTCTCTCTCTCTCTCTCTCTCTATATATATATATATATATATATATATATATAACTTGATAAAAAATTAAATTAATTTAAATTAAAAATAAATAAATCTAAAGGATATAAATTAGATTTTTAAGGATTTATTCAATTTAAAATGGTAATTATCCTAAATTCTAAAACTATTTTTCATTTGTTATTTTTTTATTAATGAATTATGTGTCTCATGTTCGTTCTCTCGTTCTCACAAATTAGTTAGCTTCTCGTATTACGGTTTGATTGGTCAAAATTTGCAGCTATATAAAAAATAGAGGGGGCAATTTCATAACTTTTACAAATATGTGTCAAACGGATTCATATGTGAACCAATGTGATTCACATATGGACTATGTGTTCATATGTGAACCCGTATAATTCACATATGAACTAATTAACCGATTCACATATAAACTAATTAACTAATTTACATATGAATCATTGTGATTCATATATGAACTCATGCGATTCACATATGAACTAATTAACTGATTCACATATGAACATATAGATCATGTGTGGATCACACGGGTTCACAACTTCAGATATTGTGTATTTGTATATGTTGTTTGTAAAATATTATGGTTTTACTCCCTTCTAATATATACTTAAGTTTTTCATTAAATCTAGTTAAATAAAGGGTATTTTGTTTGTTTTATCCTTTTCTTCAATTTTGTATTAGGGTTTATCATATATTAACCAAAACCTACCCCTTTCGTTCATCGTTAACTCTGCCCTTTCCTCCTTTGATCTTCAACCATTGTTCGTCCTATCTTCGCCAATATCAAGCATCGTTGTTGTTATCCACCACAATCTGGATCCCACTTGTGACTCCCATTTACATGCATCTCTTCAAGATTTATGCACATTATTTGAGATCCAACAAGAGACGGAGGCCTTAGGCTATCTGAATGTTGGGTTTGGATTAAATTTTGCTCGCGTTTTCCTCAAGTTAACGACATTATCCCACGGATACCCCTTGAACTAGCTAAGATTGAGATGTGACGACCAAAAATCTTTGCAAGGGGTTCAAGTGACGAGAAGAAGGAGAGGAGGGGTGGGAATGTGCTTTTTTGCATCCGATCAAGATACGTTGGCTTTTCATGAACCAAATGCGAGAGACGCACACTTGAAAAGTTTAGTTGAACAGTTATATCTTGGTGAAATGGAGGCCTAATCATTCTATTCCTTGGAGATCGAAGGTTGGATGGTTGTCAATTGCATTAGTAGCATGAAAGGGAATAATGAAAGGACAACTATGATGTTAGAAGTGTGCAATTGTTGATGGTGGTGTTAGATAATTATAAGTCTGTTTCACTTTGTTCCATGGGGGAGGAGTGGAACAGATCTGTTTCATTTTGTTCCACATAAAAGTCTTATCAAACGTGGAACATGGATTCTTGTTTTATTCTGTCATGTCTAGATTAGTGTATCAAACGCACACTAAAGGAACAAAATGTTTCTTATTTTAACATATGGTAGTTAAAGTCGTAAATAACAAAGATGAAAACAAACATTTTTTATTCTAATAAGAGTATCTTCAACAACTATGCTATTTTTTTCTTTATAATAGAGTATAAAAAATCAAAATCTCCAAAAAGAATTACATACAACTCCAACTGCTATTCTATTTTAGCAATTATAGTATTAACTATACTAATAAAATATTATTTCTCTCTTTTACACTTTAATTTCAATAAGTTTTATTGGTTGGATACGATTAAGGGGTTGTTTGTTTATCTCTTAATAGTTTCATTAAAAGACAACATCAGAATCGTTAAGAAGTGAATCTTGTTTGACAAAAAAAAAATATCTCTTAATGATTATAAAACCCTTTGAATGATTTTGTATCCTGAGCAACCCTTAACCATTCAGCGCCCTAATTTCATTATAAACAATTATATTTCATTTTTTACTATATCATTAGAGCCTCTTAACCATTCTGACCATCAAACTATTCAACAACTATCAAACAATCTCAATAATATTATTCTCATTTTTTTCTATTTTAACATAATCGTTAGAGATGCTCTTTTAACATAAGGATTTGGACACAAAATATTGTTAGAAATAAGAATAGAATAGAGTCACATAGGCACGTGGTGGGCTGATTCCGCCGGTTATTAAACTACCCCTGTGAAACCGTTGGGACACAGGCTGTTGCTAGCTGTCCTAATCCCCCTCCATGTGACCCACCTCCCCTTCCTTCCCACCAAAATCAGAAACCCCCTCCAATGGCAATGCTCTATATACCCACATTCCATATCCACATTTCCACACCTTAATCCTAATCCATCACTATAATCATACTTCTTGTTGATTCCTTCTTCACTGTGGTTAAGTTTTGGAATCTGCTTATTTAATTCTGTTCTTCTGAGCTTAATTATGGCGCAATTGCCGCCAAAAGTGCCAACAATGGCGCAAAATTGGCCGTCGTTTCCTTACCAGATGATATCGATGCCGTCTTCCGCCGCTCAGCCACCCAATTGGGTGGATGAATTCCTTGATTTCTCTTCAGCTAGGAGGAACTCACACAGGAGATCTGTCAGTGATCCGATTGCCTTCATTGAATCGCCTTTCATCGAGGAATGCCGTAACTCTAATGGACCTAATTCGTTGATGCCTTGCTCTAACAACACTGGGTTTGAACGTTTGGATGATGAACAGTTCAGTTCCATGTTTCCCGATGACGTCACGGCGAATCTCCCGTCCACGAGGTCGTCATCCAATCCGTCTACTCCATCAGATCAAAACAGTGACAATGACGAGCCTAAGACAACACCGCCACCAGAACACCACCACCACCAGCAGCAGCAGCAGCCGAAGAATGAACCTGGAGAGGTAGAAGACGGCGGCGGTTGCCAACCTGAGACAGAATCCGCTAAACCTTGCTTCAATTTCTCTAGCGATGGCGGCACAATTGTTGATCCAAAGAGAGTGAAAAGGTACAATTACCTAAACCATAAAGCACAGCATCTCATATCAATTGCTTAAGCAACAAGCTAAACTTAGTGCTTAATTACGTGTTAATCTTCATAATCCATCTGTTTAACAGGATTTTAGCAAATCGCCAATCTGCTCAGAGATCGCGAGTGAGGAAGTTGCAATACATTTCTGAACTCGAACGCAGTGTTACTACGTTACAGGTTTGTACAAAATTTGATCTCCAAGTTTCCATTCGGTTCATAATTGAATAGCAACCTTCTAAACTGAATGTTATTCATAATTAAACAACCCAAAACTCACATCCAATTGTGGAATCCGAATCGATATGAGCCTGATCACAACCTCAATTATGCTCAACGAATGTTCTAGAACACAAAATAAGCAATTATCGATTCAATTGCAATTGTAATTGGGAATTTGAGATTGAAATGAACAAAAACACTAATTAATCCATGATTTTTTTGCTAATCATGAAGACGGAAGTATCGGCATTGTCACCACGAGTGGCGTTTTTGGATCATCAACGATTGGTTCTAAACGTCGATAATTGCGCGCTTAAGCAACGGATAGCGGCATTAGCTCAAGACAAGATCTTCAAAGACGGTATGCCAACAGTAATCGAATCCTCAAACACCTCCATTCGATTAATCTGATAGATTCTTCAGATAAACTGACTTCGAATTTGGTTGATTATAAATATTGCAGCTCACCAAGAAGCATTGAAGAAGGAGATAGAGAGGCTAAGGAAAGTGTATCAGGAACAGAACATGCAAACGGCGGAGAACGAGGAGAAGGAATTCGAAATCGCCACCGGAAACGACGGTGGATCGGCGGCGGCAAACAGGAGTGTTACGGAGGAGGGAGGCGGCAGAATCTGCTAAATTGCGCCCATGCATGCACGTGATGTGTTTCCCCGCTTTTGCTGGTGGTGTGAGTGGTCCCCATGATTGGCATGTGACTTTTTTAATTTAACATGGCTTCTACAGTACTTCTTTTCTCCTGTTTTTATTTAATTTCTATTTATCTTTTAGATTCTTTGCCCAAAAATAGGGTGTGGGGTATTGGATTTAGGCCACAGGGGCATTGTTGTAATTGTGTTATTTCTTGATTTTTATTTTTTTAAATTAATTTATGTTCTTCCTATTTGGGCCTAAATGGGCCCATTAGTGTTTGGGGTATAATTGTATAAGTATAACTCCTAAAAAGGTTTGAATTTAAATACCACTTTATATTTCTTTATATTATATGTAAGAATTTGTCGATGTTTTCAATTCATCAGATAAGGTACAAAGAATAAGTTCAATACGAATACCAAAAGATTGTCATATGAAATATATTTTCACAAGTTTTAAAACAGTCTTTGAAATAAATACAGTAGTTTTTTAGGTTTTACTGATAAATAATTTAGATCGAATCATATTTAGGTCTCGGCCTCTTCTTGATTCATTAGTGACTTGGAACGAAGAGTATAGGAAGAATGTTGTCTTCTCCCTGAGTTCCAAGGCAAAATTGCTGGAAATGTTGTTAGGTTGTTTTTTTTGCAGTCGTTACGAACATGTGTAATCCACCTAGAACAACGTTTTCTTTCGGACCTTTCAACAAATGGGTACGGCCCAAGAGAGTTGTTTTTGCTAAGACTCGAGTAGTTTCTTGAAAACTCACTTTTTCAACATATATACTCTTGTTACTCCCAACAAGACGACCCCCATGGATGGACCTACAGTGATGCCAACGGTGGCATGTGCCACCATATTATTTCTCCGTCGAATGGTAAAAAAAAATTAGGTTCGTGAAAGGTGCAACCGTATTAATTTGTTGTGTGCCACCATATGTATTTTGAAACTACGGTATGAACAAGTTTTTTTTGGTAGAGTTGGTTTGCAAGACTCTTGTTCCACCCCAGGCTCGAGTTCGAATCCTGTTAGTGTCATTTTCTTAGTCAAATGGGCCACAGTTTGAGATTTTTTTCTCTATATTTGTTTCTTATAGCCAAATGATGCCACTGTTTAAAAAAAATTTGTGGGTCCATCCCTGAATCAGCTCCGATGAACTAACATCTCACATAATGGCAAGAAGGGATGAGCAAGTAAGAATGTCGTTTTCATTATGGAATCATTAACAAGAGTTGCACTTTCTGTATATAAAACAACTTAACGAGAATATTTAAGGGTTGTTATAATTATTCGACAATTATTTGCTTTTTTGTGGGATTACATGCATTTCTTGGTTTAGTTATGCTTGTTTTTTTAACAAATTATATTACATAAATTGGAACTTTATTCATTCATCTCGTCTAATTATATCTATTCTTAAGATTAATCTACCAATTATTCACTTCTTTTTATAGCAGAAACTCTAGACAATGATCTTTTTTTTTATTAACCTGGATATCCAACCCGCTATGCGAGCCCACTAATTCCAGGACGACCACCTGCTTAGCAGATAGCCCGGAGTCACCGCATTTAAACCTCCGTGGCCACAAGTGGATTCTTATTCCTCCTTGGATTTGAACCTGGGACCTACTGGTACTTTTGACCTTTAGAGCCAAACTCAAACCAATCAGACACCACCTTGTGGTTTGATCTGTTTTCTTTGGAGTAACATAAACTCTTATGCTTTTAATAGTGTTGCTCTTAACACCGATCTATTTGGTGATATTCAATCAATGTGCTTCAGTTGGATTTCGTCTAGATACCCCTCTTTCCCGATTTTGTGGGATGCTAAGATAAAATCTCCAACTACTGCTTTCTGATTTTGTTACTTTTACGTTTTGTTGTTTTTCCTTTTTTGGGAGTCACTTTCGTTGTTGTTAAGACGTATTTGGTTTGGTTTGCTTTTGTTTTTTCGGGACCTTGCTTGCTTGACGGTCTACTCCGGTTCCATTTTATTATATCTGCTTTTCAAAAAAAATACTTTTATAATAGCATTTTGGTTGTAATAAAGAGTACATAATGGATTATTGACAATTAAAAAAATATTATTACTGATATAAAATCAGCATATAATACATCTTTATTTTAAATAAGAAACAAGATTACAAATACCGAAAGTATGAGAAAGAATTTCCGCTATACACATACCGAAAGTAGGAGGTCTCAGGTTCAAATCTTAGGAGGAACAGAAATCCTCTTGTGGCCACAAAGGTTCAAATGTGGTGACTCCGGACTATCTGCAAAGCAAATGGTCACTCTGGAATTAGTCGACTCACGTAGCAGGTTAGATATCCATGTTAATTTAAAAAAAAAAAAAATGTAGAATCTTAGATCTTTAAAGGTAAGATAGCCATGGGGTAGAAGTTAAGCACATGGTTGTTAATATTAATAATAAAACTTAAAGTGGTCCATGGCCTTAATTTTATGTCCATGTACATTGTTATTGGTTTAAAATTATGGGTGTGCAAAATCCGAATTATTTGAAATCTGAACTGAAAATAAAGTATTTGGATAAAACTCGAATGCCCTGAAATTCGAAAATCCAAAAACCGACTTTTTGGGAAAAATTTGGGTTCGGGTTGGGCTTGATTTTTGGCCATCCAATCCATCTGAAAACCCGAAATATATATAAATATATTTATTCATCTAATTATCTTTGAAAATTCTAAAAATCTTAGTGGGTCGTGTTTTTTTTCTTTCTAATTTTTAAACATACTATTGATTTATCAATCCTCTAAATCGATTGGATTCATCGTCAAAATCAATTGGATATATATATATATATATATATATATAGAGGGATGTTATTCTACACCCTTTGTCATTCCTACACCCTATACAACCCTCATCTCAACCATTCAATTTTTAATCAATTAATTGTTTCCTAATATAAAGTATTAAYCATAATTAATAAACTCTATTCATATTCCATAAATATTCAAATCATAATAAATGAACTCCAATCATTTCTATAAATATYTCAATTAATTGRRTTSCAAADGTTGTACAAATGCATAAGGTTGTAAAAGAAATATACCCTATATATATATATATTGCATTGTAACTAAACCCGAACCTGATCGATCTCAACCCAAACCCGAAGCAATCTGAAATCCGAAATCCGAAATCCGATTGGGTTTTTGATTGACGTACACCCCCTATTTAAAATATCACATTAAGTATAAAATAATGTAGGAATGTTGTTGGTGTAGTTGTTGCAGCCTTATTTTGATTTTGATGATTTGATAAGCCGCTTTATTGATACTAACGAACTTATTGAATGCTATGAATTAAATATTTGTTCCATTTTAAATTATTGAAGAGTTTAAAACCCGTGTTTATTAAGATATCGAAATTCTTCGACCAACAGCTTATTGGAAATGTTTGCATTAAAACAAAGACAAATTGCATGAAAAAATAACGTACTTTAATTTTAAGAGGATTTTTATTCTTTTTCATTGGGTTCGAATCTTGGACCTTCAGACACTTTTGACCTTTGGAGCCCAAGTTCAAACCAATCTGACACCACCCTTGTGGTTTGATGTCATTATTTTGTTTGTGTGTGATGTATTATCCGTTGTTAATTCACTGAAATTTGTTAACGATCATAATCAATCTGTGAGTATTAAAAGGGTAGTTGATGATCTACGAGAATGCAATATCGAATCATGGTTGTTGGATTTTCTTTTACTATTTGTTTGCGTCATCCATGCGTTCATTTTCATTGAGCTTGAACGTTGACTCTTGTTCATGTCCGTTCAGTTAACTAAATGAACAAAAAAAAATTGTTCATGTGCGTTCATTTATTAAATAAACGAACTTCCCGCCGAATGGTTCACTGCACGTTCGGTTCATTTACAGCCCTTTAAATTCTTGACTTGTGTAGTGGTGTGTAGAAGTAAAGCGTTTGTAGGTGGCTTTTTAAGTTCGCCGTCAAATCTCAGGGCTCAACTTTGGACAGGCGGCGGAAACTACCAAGCTGGAGCTTGGTAGGGGCAGAGGGAATTTCCGGTGAAGCGGTGAAATGCATAGAGATCGGAAAGAGCACCAACGGCGAATGGGATTACATACTTCAGTAGTCCTAGCCGTCAACGATGGATACTAGGCGCTGTGCGTATCGACCTGTGCACTGTTGTAGCTAAACGCAAACAATCTGTATGGATTCAGTTATATTTATCATTGATACAACTAATTTTAAGGATTATTATTTGTTAGATTCAATAACAGCCCAAATTATGGCATCGTTGTCAGAATTTGGTACTTTTAGTCAATTTACTTCTATGCCTCGTTCTTCTCGTACAAGTAACCTTTAGTACGCCACAGAGATCGAGAATATCGCTAAAAGATTGAGAAAGTAAGTGAGATTGTGTCGCAACCAAGCTTCATAATTGCCGTAATCTCGAATTAAACATAGCGTTCAAGTTTTCTAACTCATGCTCGTCGAGTAATACGAAAGTCACACCAAAAACGGAAGCAAGAACCGTTGTTGAACAAGAAATGGCTAACCTCGAACATATTCCAAGGGAATTAGTTGCACCAGACGTCAATCAACCGCCACTTTGCATATGTTATCCATATTTGGAAGTACGTTTTAAACTGGAGTTAGGTTTGATTCGCTTATCATCTAATTTTCATGGCTTAGAAAATGAGAAACCCCACAAGCACCATAAATAATTCCTTGCGGTGTTAATCAGTTTGTTATGTCATGAGTTTCATCGAATCATAGGTTTATGGGTTTTTTTTTTAAGTAAAATTTGATATTTATATTGATACATTTTTTTTATTAACCTGGATATCCAACCCGCTAAGCGAGCCGACCAATCCCACGACGACCACCTGCTTTGCAAATAGCACGGGATCACTGCATTTAAATCTTTGTGGCCACAAGGGGATTTTTATTCCTCATTGGATTTGAACTTGATACCTCCTTGTACTTTTGACCTTTGAAGTCAAGCTCAAACCAATCAGACACCACCTTTGTGGTTTATATTGATACATTCTAGTAAGTAATGCAAATGCAACAAAAAAGAGATCATGTAGTAATACCCAGAATTCTAATATGACTGTATTTTTTTAATCGTGGATGTTTGGGCAAGTTTAGACACACACCTCGACTAATCCCATGGGAGCTGACAACAGCCAGAATAAAGTCAGTTGAGTTAATATAGAAGTTTATTTGCAAGTCAGGGCTAAAACCGAAAAAATACAATTTTTTAGGCACAATGGTTTGGACATGAGACTTCAGGTTGTATATATGGGGGTAAATGAGCCGAGTCGATTCGAGTAGTAGGTTATTCTAGTTTGACTCAAAGAAATTATACAAAGCTCGAGTCGAGCTCGGATAACTTTTTCAATGTAAGACTCAAATTTTTTTGAGTTGTGGAGCTCGATCCTTATGGGCCCGTACACACAATCGATTAACTCGTTTATTGTCTCAAGATTAATAATTATCACATTTTTATTGTATTATTTATGAACATACGAATATGTTTGACTTGAATAAATATATACTCGAATGGCTCGGTTCAACTTGACTCGATTCGAACGAGCTGAGTCAATCATTAGTTTTATGAAACTTGACTCGTTAAGTTAGACAGAGTTCTATTTTGGGTAGAAAAGCGACTCGAGCGAGAGTTACTAAGCGGCTCGTGTTCACCCATCATCGCATCCCATCTGGCCATTTCAAATTGCGGGAACCTGGTAAACTGAACCCGGGCAACCTAGTCAGCAAGTCGCAAACTGTAAAAAATGAAACCGTTTGATTTAGCTCGGCGACCTCAAGCCGCCGGATCAGCTTGCATGTCGGCGGTGTCGCGATTCATATGAGCTCAAAGGTCGGGTTGTCTATCGTTTTCTATGAACGATGCATGGCCAGTTACAGTTGGGAAGTAAATGTTACTCAAAAACCCTAATTTAGGTAAGGAAGGGAAACCGAGAAAACCCTAATTGGAATTGAAGGACATAGTACATTAACAAATCGATAATTCGTTTCTGAAAATCGATTCTACAGATGTGGGGTTTAATCGGATGCCTATTTCTTCGAATTTTCTTATTAACTCCTCATCATACTAATTCCCCATTTTAAATGATGGGTTTTTTTATCAGGTTGCAGAGAAGGAAGAAAGCAAAACAATCATCATCTATTTCAGATCATAATTTTGTGGGTTTATTGGAGGTAACAAATTTTCATCAGCTTAGCTAACATTCGCACTGAAAATCTTAAAAAGAATATTCAAGTTTGTATAATGTTGATCCAACATGTTCTTCTTTGACTATTGAATAATTATATCGCTGTCACTGATTCAAATCCTTGACCACTTCAATTTTTATTCTCGTCGTTGTTATCATGATAACAAGTTCTACTGCATGTACGATATTATCTCCATTACCATGTTACTTGTCCTACAACTGTTCAGTTTGAAAACTTTGCCAACAAGAGCCACGAACAGGGGTGATACAACTTATGGAGGTAGGGGGAATATACCCCCAACCAAAAGCCATAAACTTTGATTAATTTTTTTAACCTCAATTCTCGTGCCTTCTGTTGTTGATGCCCCCGACTTTCTTTTGACGACTCGCTACCTGCATCTGGTGTCTTAGTTTTTGACAATATAGTGTTTTTTGGATGATTTTGATATTTAAGACTGATGTTTGTTCTGGAATATTGTTAAGGATTTTCGAATAATTCGAACAACCTAATAACCCAAGAATATTTAACCCGAAAATTTACCTCATGGGGTAACATTCCCGGCCATCAAAGTGTTTCAGTAAATGGCCCCTTAATTGAATTTTATGATACAATTAAGATGAATCGTGTGAGATTTAATGGAGAGGGGCAATCTTTTTCTGAAAGCTAAAGTAATTGACTTTAGAACTAGAGGGCTTTGTTTAAACGGTGGTGTATTTCAAGAAGAAACCCCTTTCCACCTACTACAACCACTCCATTGATTGAATACATTTTGAGGACTGCTATTGGTCATTTTAATCATGCATATTGTGTGCTTTTTTGTTGATGTGAGGAAAATTGATCATTAGAATGTCTTGGTCCAAGTTTATCACCTAGTGGAACTAAATTAAGAGAACAATCTTGCTGATGGATGGTGGATCCCTCTGTTAGGTAACTTGCATGTGAGCTTAGCAGCCATTTTTGTCTATTTCTTTAATCCTAGCTGAGTAGCTGGCAGTAGTTCTAGCTTGCAAGATTGCTAATAATTTAAGATTAGATCAAGTCTTCTCTTATGAGTTTTATCAGGAAATTGATAGGTTTTTCAATTAAATTGGTAGAAGATACCCGATAGATTATTATACTTAATCAGACATCCATAAAATCCTATTAGAAGATTGGAATGCTTCCAAGCTACATATTTCTTGCTTGCTGAACATTGACATGTATGTTTGTAATAGCTTCAAGTAATAATAAACCCCCCAAGAGGTGTACTTGAGTTCTTCGGTGTGAAAGTGATGTGACATGTGGCAATCAATTAAACACCCCAAGAGGTGTACATGATAATTTGGATATGTGAAATGACCAAAAAATTATGGTTAGAGCAGATGTCTTGAAACAACACAACTACTTCCAAAAAATACTAATAAGTGGATGTGATTGCCAATGTCATTTTCATTACCTTAACATTTCTTAAGGCGGCTTTTGCAACTCATTTGGAAAAGGCAAAAAGGAAAAATACATTCATATGGTATAGGAACCCTCGGTTGACCATTTAATAGATTAAACACCCTCGTCCCGCGTGGCTAAGGACGGAAGATGCCACAATTAGGTTAAAAAAATTCCAAGTCAACACGTGGTTAAAACATAGCGGTTAATATAATTTACCAAAATATAATTACAGAACCACAAACGGAGACAACAACATGTACCAAAATATAGTCCCAAAAAACACATATATCATCTACTTTAGTCATCAAAAGTAGATCATAATGGGTTATCTTCACTCCTGTCATCTCCATAGTTCTCATCCCAAAAGACCTGCTAAGTCATGTATTGATTGAACATCTGGTATAGACCCTTTAACGAAATCTTGAAATGTTTCAGAAGCTTTGCATTTTCTTGCCCTGAACGATTATATGCATTGTATTATTTGTAAATGCACAAATAGATGAACTTATGAGAAGTTGAGCTTTCAAACAAAATTGAATCTCCAACAACTTCTGTAAAATAGGACTATATAATGTGGACACGGCTGATTTTATAATTTTATTACCTGATGATAATTCTAAGGTGGCTTGTACAGCTCATATATCAAAGAAAAAGGAAACTGAACTTGCAAAGCAACATCTGTTTGACTCTGTAATGGATCAAAGCACAAGTCTTCCTTCAAGTTCTTTAGACTTTCAAGAAATTTCATCAAATAAATACCTTCTCCTTCTGATCACACAACCACCAAACAAAGTTAATTGATTTCAGACATCTTTGTAAACATGGGAAAGTTTAAGAAACTTGCATGCTATACATCTTTTCTTCTTATTTTGTTAGCTGTGGAGGTTAGAGGACGGTTCTTACATTCTACTGCTTCTGAGTTGATTTCAGATGGCGAAGATGATCTGGCTCAAGGGGAAGGATCATCTTCCTTGCGTTTCAAAGGAGTTGATTCTTCAGAAGAGCATTGTGAGCAAATGTATGGATTTTTGCCATGCTCTGAAAATCTCCTAGGCCACCTCTTCCTCATAGTCGTGTACGAGTACTTGTTGTACCACGGAGAAGGCTATGTCGCTTCTGGAGGTAAACGGATTTTCAAGATTCTTGGTCCTGGTGTCTTTGGTGCGAGTGCTTTCCAGGTGCTCGGTTTTCTTCCGGAGTCATTGATACTTCTCGGTATACCCCCTCTTTACATAGATTGTCTTTATGCTTTTCGTTTTTCTCTGCCCCTTCTTCAATAAGAAGTCCTATAAATTGCAGTCGAATCTGGGCCTTCACACTTGATGCAATTTATCCTTGTATCTTGTCATATCATTGTTCTGGCACTTCATCTTCGACAAGTTCTGTAATTTGTAGAGTTTGTTTGATTAGAAATCTTGAAAGCAGCTACTAATAACCCCAATCACCAGCAGATTAATCAAACTGCAAAAAGCCTGCATGGACTTATACACAGTTCATGTTCAGTCAGATGCCATGTAGCCTTTCAGGGCTATAGCGGTATAGCTGGGTCCAGGTTGTCTGATTAAAATACCAAGAGACTAGTAACTAACAACTGAACACAGTTTTCCACTATGCGGATAAGATTTCCTTTCGACATTTTTCTTTCAGTATGTGCTAATGTTTTTTGTGTCTAATTACAGTTACTGGACTTATGAACACCAAAGATGTAGCTCAAGAGTATGTCCTGACTGGAGTTGGGTTGCTAGCCGGATCGACAATATTCCTTCTCACTTTGCTATGGGGAACTTGTGTCATCATTGGGCGTCAGGATTTTTCCTCAGAATCTGGTTCCAATCCTACATTGGTTCCTACCAGAAGCCCTTACAAAAAGTTGCATTCGTTTCTTACTGGTTAGATTATGTGTTTCTCATATTACTTTATTTCATAGATGCGGGTGTCGTTTGTCTTTGTTCCTCGTAGTCATTTTCTTTCTGATTCCTCGATTTCAGGTTCTGGTGTAATTACAGACCCAGAGACAAGTTCAACAGCACAGATTATGCTTATTTCAGTTATACCATTTATGTTTCTCATGATCCCAAAGCTATTTGGCATGACATATACTGTTCGTGGATACATCTTCATAATCACACTTCTTGTTTCCGTGACGTTCTTGCTAGTATACTTCATTTATCAGGTATGCACCAGATCTGTACTTGTTTACTTGTGGAACATCAGGTTAAAAAAGATGGATCAGATTTTTCTTATTTCATTCTCATAAAGTATACTGGGCATAGTGACAAAAAGTCACCGGAAAAATCCCCAATGACCCACTAATGAGAATCGTGTCCGTTCAGTTCATAACATCCTGCAATACTACCATTCAAGTTGATCTTGAATTGACTTTTGTTTTTGTGTTTCTATCGTCACAATTTTGAGTTCGTTTTCATGTAGGTGTTTGAGCCTTCGATCCAAAAGAGACGATTGTCGTACGTCAAACATGAGCATTTAGTTTTAGACATACTAAAACATTTACAGGAGCACACCGCAGAAAAAATACTCACGGAAGATGGTTTACCAAACATGGCTGCTATAAAAAGGTCCGTTTCTTTTCCGAATCTCTCTTTGTTTTGCTTGTGTGCTTCCTGTTGGATAAGTTAATTGTTGGTTTGCAGTTTGTTTACAAAAATTGATCAAGATGGCGATGCTTACATATCTTTTCCTGAGCTGAAAGAACTTCTCCAGGATATAAAATTCAGGCAAACTTGGAACAAAGAGAAAACAATCGAAGAAGTGATGAAAGAATTTGACCATGATGGAGACACAAAAGTAACAATTGATGAATTCATCGATAGATTCACAAAATGGCTTGATGAGACTAAGAGTGCCGTAAGTAAACCGTATCGCTCACTTGATTCTTGGAAGGACTTGTATCAGGTACTTATCTCTTTGTACATTCTATAGAATTTCTAACTGAGAACTATGTTCAATCAAATGCATTAATTTCAGCTTCAAACTTTACTTCATAACAAATGTTAGAAAAATACCAAAAAAAGGATAAAATTTACCACTTTTGACTCATTAACGAACCTGCTCTTCCCTGCCCATTTTGCCATCTATTCAGTTCTATAAATGATAGCAAAAATCTTTAAAAAAATTAATTTTTAGGTGGTCCAACCGTGGGTTCAAACCAAAAGGAAAGAACAAGAAACAATGAAGGTCCTTGTATCAGAAATTATCAGCCATGCTAAAAACACTCCACTTGGGAGCTTCTATAAAGAAGATGGAACACCAAATGTATCTGCCATAAAGAGGTAAGACCGTAAGAGTCTTTTTTTAGACGGATAAGTCAATTTTTGGTCACTGAATCCTAATGGAAATTTTAGATTGTTTGAGAGCTTAGATGTCAACAAAGATAACTCTGTATCGTTATCCGAGTTGAAACAACTTATGATGGATGTCGACTTTGGGAAGACATCATGGAATGTGGATGAAGCAACTTCTCACATAATGGAAGACCTTGACAGAAGTGGAGATCAACAGATTGACGAAGAGGAATTCGTAGATGGATTTAGGGAATTGCTTAACACATCTAATGATCAGATGAGCCCCAAGACGCCTGGACCTAAAGATATATCCCGGGTAAGTAATCTCATAATGAAGTTTTTTTTTCTTTTCTTTCTTTTGAAGCACATAATATATATATGTATATATATATATATATATATATATATATGTGTGTGTGTGTGTGTGTGTGTGTGTGTGTGTGTGTGCAGGGTCAAGTTTAGGGGAAAACCACAAAAAAGTTAAAAAATGAGGAACACCCTCATAGATGTTCATCTGGACAGTATGTACATGTGCATACAAGTAATTTGTAAGTAATTGTCTGGTATGCACAAGTGCATAAAAACCCAAAAACAGCTTCAATCACTTGTATGCACATGTGCAAAACGTACAGATGAATGGTTACCGGGGTGTTCCTCAGTTTTTCATTTTCTGGGGGGTTTTTCCTCGAATGGCTGAACCTCCCTCCCTCTCTCTCTCTCTCTCTCTCTATATATATATATATATATACATGGCAAATACTCACACACACTCCTCACCATTGGTGAGATTTGAACCCTCGACCTTCTTGGAGGTAGGGCCATGGCTCTTTGGTCTCGTAACTTCAAAGTTGATACGACTTATATTGATTTTTCAAGAAATTTTAACAACTGCATTGAGCTTTATTTAAAGAAAAGATACAAAAAAATTTGGAGATAAACTTGTAATAAAGTTTTCATTTTTTATTTATCTTTAAAAGTGGTCGGTTTGAGCTAAAATGGTTAAGTAATTTAATGACTATGCAGAAACCATGGGAAAAATGGGAAGATTATGGTGAAGATAGATCGGGTTGGGCCTGGACAAAGGCTATAATGCTGGTGGTGGTTGGGATAGCTGTGTTAGCACTTCTCGCTGAACCTCTTATCCACAGTGTTCAGAATGTCTCCAACTCGGCGACCATACCATCTTTTTTCATATCTTTCATATTAGTTCCCTTGGCCTCAAATGCTAGAGTAGCCGTCTCCGCCATCCAAACTGCAAGTCAAGGGAAAGAACGAACCACATCGTTGACATTTTCTGAGGTTCGTTTCTCCCCTTCTCAGTTACACCTAAATCAATACTGTACGGTACAAATTCTGTTTCTGGATCATGAAATATAGCAAAATCTTATGAAATCTCCTCTTGTTGGGCTATTTTTATATGCACTTTTGATAGTGACACGCACTTTTATTTGCTCACACTTTTCACAAGCTAGGGGTGTTCAAGGATACAACTGCTCTACCACTTGGGTTAGAGATCAGGTGTGCGTAAATCCCACCCCTGGTAGGATATACGCCCATTTGGTAATTGCCTCGCCTGTCTAAAGGCTTGTTTGTTAGCAGCTTAATGAGCTTAATAAAACTCACAACTTATTAGGTCAGCTATATATGACTACTTAGTAGTGACTTAATGATATAGATAGTGGCTTATTCAGTAAGCTTCTAGGTGGAGCTTTATGCAGAAAGCCAAGTTATTTTCACACCTGCCCCTCCCAATTAAAAAACATGCTCCTTCGATTTAAGAAAAAACCCTCTTAAACAAAAACCTTCCCAATCTAAACCGACAGATTAATTTACACAAACAGCTTTATCCATAGATGACTTATTCGGTCAGCTATACATGACTATCTTGGTAGTGGCTTAATGATATATAAAGTAACTTATTCAGTAAGCTTCTAAGGGGAGCTTTATGCAAAAAGGTAAGTTTTTCTGCAAAAACTGCCCCTCCTAATTAAAAAACACGGTCCATTCATCTATGAAAAAACCCTCCCGCTCTTTACAGACAGATTAATCCACACAGAGAGCTTTATCCATACAAGACTTGATGGAAAACCAACCAAAACACCCCCTAACTTTCTGTGCTCTTTTCATTTGTACATTTGATAATTGAGACATTTGTATAACTTTTGTGCTCTTTTCATATGTACATTTGATAACTAAGTAGACTATCTAAATGACATTTTGTGCTTTTTTCATCAATAATTGAAACATGCATACCAACTTCTTGTGCAGTTGTCATCCGTCAGTTTGTTATTTGATGACAAAACCTTTTGTACTCTTGTCCTGGAGTAAATTAGACCAATCATCCTTGCGGACCCCCCATCCTTTGAATTTTGCTTGCATGGATTTTCCCGGGCCTTAAACTCTGTTAAAGCCAACTGGTAAGTGCCCTCACGTGCTAGTCACGTTTGGGGCATTTTGGACATTTTGCAACATTTTTAACTTTTTTAATGTACAAGTATAAAATGGAAATGCACAAGCATCTGAAAATTATAAAAGAATAGAAAAACCTTAAAACCCTGCCCATCGTTCCTCCCCCAATCCCAACCGTCGCCATCTTCCTCTTGGTCTTCTGGTGAAGTTCCTTGGCCTCCTGATAACATGACAGATTCACGTTACATGTTAGCATGAACTTTGTGTATTAGAACCAAGAGAGACGAACTAGGAGATTTTGGGAAGATGTGTTTGGTGTTTCATTGAATGCAATTTTGGGATTGGTGCTTTCACGATTTGCCAGTGAAATGATGTCAAAACTTGCTGCTTTGTGTTGGTTCTCTTTCTTGATCTGATTTCTTATACGTTTTGTCGACACACTGTAAAACCAGCTTTAAAATATAAAATCTATGGAACTCCCATCGAGTTTGGGCATTAGCATTCTGTATCACTAGGACAAAATGAATAAAAACATCTCACCACAGTTGAAAGTTTAGGAGACAAACAATCTATTTCTCCTCAGCATGATTCTTTTTGATGCCCATAACGATACAAGATGCTATGAAAATTCTACCTTATGCCCTATTGATCGATGGCGTTAGGAATTCTTTAAGCTTATTTCTCGTGGTGGCTGAAAATCAGAGGGTGGGAGGAAGGAGAAGGGTGTTGGGCCGGGGCGGGGGGTGAATGGTGGTTGGGGGTGGTGGTGTCGGTGGAGGGGAAGGGGCGGGGAGTCGCGTGTGGTGTCTGGGGTAGGGGGAGGGGTTTTTGGTTGGTTTATTTTTTTTTTTCTTTCTAAATCTCAAATACTTTTACATATGCATTACATACTTGTAATTAAATTTATTTTAAATATTGCAAAATGACCAAAATGCCCCTAATGTGACTTGTCGTGTGAGGGCGCTCAACGGTTGGCTTTAACGGACATTATGGTCAGGGATGATCCATGCAAACAAGTACAAAGGATGGGGGGTTTGATGTAATTTCTAAAGTGTAGTTTACTCCTTTTTCTTATTTGCATTTGAGGATTGAATGTGCAACTGTTTCTGCTCTTTTCATTTGTATATCTGTCGACCAACTTTTTGTGTTCTTTTCATATGTATTTTTTATGATTAACATGTCTGACTAAGGTGCTGCTTGTTTTTTTGGTCTCGTTAAGCCTGTATGGATTAAGTTGCCTGTATGGCTTTAAATAAATTGTTTTTTTTTGTCATTTGTGCTGAATGACACAAATGACAATTTTACCCCCAGTCTAGATCAGTATGCTCGATAATTGGCGATTGATGATTGATTTCCATATGGTTGATGCAGATATATGATGGGGTGTTCATGAACAATGTTCTTGGATTTTCTGTTCTTCTAGCAGTCGTATATTTTCGAGGATTGATGTGGCATTTCACTGCTGAATTATCGGCCGTGTTCATTGTATGTGTGATCATGGGCACAGCAGCCGGATTCCGATCAAAGTTCCCTGTTTGGACATCGATCATATCGTACCTGCTTTATCCCTTATCTTTGATCTTTGTGTATTTTTTTGGTGATTTTTAACAGAACATAATTAGAGAGTAGGAAAGGAGAAAGATGATGCATTAAATTTGTTCTTTGTATCTATAAAAAGCTCAAGTCTTGGGAATTTATTGAAATATGGTAATTTATCTACTCTAACTTACTAAATTTGCACTATTCTCGAGTCTCTGATACAAACTCAATTGAGATATTTATTGAAATGATTAGTGTTTATTTTATTATGATCTGTATATCTATTGAAGATGATCAGAGTTTGTTTTTATGATCTATCGTTTTAGATTACGAAACAATCGAGATATTTATTATATAAATATTTATTAGACTGGATGAAAGGTTGAGATTGGTTTGTATGATTTAGGTCAGTCGTTTGCAGTATTGAGTTGGATTTGGAATTGAATTCCCTCCCAATTTGAATCCAAGTTTAAAGGATTTATGGATTTGAAATCCCACAAACATATTAGTTTGAAATCCCAAGCGTGGTTTGTACTTTGTATTTCATGGGATTTCGTAAGATTTGTATTTAATAATGTTCTAAATTATGTTAAAAACATTTATTTTATAAACAAAAAGAGTTTTTGGCCTAGCGGTGTTGTAGTCTTTGGCTTCGTATGAGGTCATGAGTTCAAACATCACCAAAGGTGAGGAGGGTGTGAGTTTATTTGTTGTATATAAATATTATATACTTTAAAAAAAACATTTATTTTATAATAATCAATTAATAAGAATGTAATTTAGTTATTTTTATAATTTGTTTCTATAAAGAATTTAATTTCATTTCATTACAAATCCTACAAATCAAATACACCAAAAATCTTAAATCGTTTCACAAAATATAAATCTCACAAAAATCATTTCTTCAAACCAGATAAAGGTTTGCAAATGACTGGAACTCTAATTATGTAATCGCTATATTTACTTCGATCAAAATGATGTTGAAAAATGGTAAAATAACCAATACGGTTTTCAATTAAATACTAAATTCGAGAATAAATTGTATAAAAAACATGTTAGATACATCCTTATGACTTATAAAACTGGTTAACATGTTTTAGAAAGTTCAAAGAGTTATTTAACAGATTTTGGAATGTTCAAGGACTTATTTGTTCCAAAAACCTGTCCAATGACTTAATAATTCAAAACACTAAAGTCCATAGATTTCTTTAGGCTTTTTCCTGTTCTTTTTGGCCAACTTACAATTTTCATTTAGGGGCTGTTTGTTTTTAATAAAAAAGTTTTTAATGTCCTCTTAAGTCTGAATCGGTCAGACATAAGAGGATTCAGTGTGTTTGTTTTTTTTTTTCAATTAAGAGCTTAAAATCTCTTATTAAGTCTGAAAATTTAAGTGGTTGAGAAATCTCTTATTTCAAATCGTCGCCTACCTATTCTGATCTCTTTACGCTCGATTTCTCTGGATCAACTATTCTGTCTCGATCTCTCCTCTCTCAACTCTGTCAACTGTCGATCCATATCAACTCTCGATCTCTCATCTTCAAACTTCAGATTTCAGACGCAAAAAACAAACAGTCTGATTGATTCAGATTTCAGCACCACCTCTTAAAAATCAGAAGCGAATTCAGACTTCAGCACCTCTTAAAAAACAAACGGCACCTTATATTTTGTTTTTAGAATTTTGATTCAAATATGTGCATTGCAATGTTTGTATTGTATGATCTAAGTGTATAATGTATTGTACAAATTCACAACCTTTTCTGATGAACACTCCAGACCAGTTTCCAGCTATATTGGTCGTCTTCACTTGTCGGCCGACTCCTTGCATCGGTCCCCGCATCCCATCGTTCTCCTCATTAACGTTGTCACCATCCGTTACCCCTTTTCTTGAATTCAAATTTTAAATTATATGTTTGACCTTCAAAAACTCGTATTTCTATATCTTAATCATGAAGTCGACACTCGTTTTAGTCATTTTAGGCAATCTTCATTCTAATCTATGTAAATACCGTTACTTGCACACTTGACTTGTCTTTTATGCACTTTTTGCAATTCACCGACCCGAATTGTAAAATTACAATAGTTCAGCAGCTTTCGTCTTTTTGTACTTTTTGCAATTTACCAACCCGAATTATACAACTATAACAGTTAAATTAGCCTTCGTGTTGACATCACAAATATCTAAGATACGAAATTACGGAGGTGTTTGGGATTGCTTATAGAAACAACTTATTGACTTATTCCGATGTAACACTGGTAATAAGCACTTTTGAGTGTTTGGATAGACAGTTTATACCGGTAACAAGAAGTTTTTGAAGAAGTTAAATCATTCTAACTTATAATAAGTTGATAAGGACTTCTGTAAAAAAGCATAAGTTGTTTCAGATAAGCAATCCCAAACAACCCTTATATATTTCCAACAAACCCAATCCATATTTTAGATAAAGAATAGAAGGGATAGTGATATTAAGAGCATCTTCAATATATTCTTCAAAATATATAAATAAAAATTAAAGTCTTAAAAAAAACTTATACTCATTTCCAGCAGCTTCTTCATTTTAGAGATTACAATATGAATTATATTATTAAAGTATTCAATATATTTTATAAAATATTATTTATCTCTTCTGTACATTTAATTTCAAAGATTTTCATCAGTAGAAAAATAAAAATACTTCCTATTTCATAAGTAATCATTTTTTGAGAGTTTTCAAAAGGGTAAATTACATGAAAAAGTAACGTATTTTAATTTGATTCATATTTTGGGTAACATACTTTTGAAACTTTCATTTTGGTACTAAGGTGTAAAGTTTTAAACATTTAAGTATTCGGGTAACCGGTTGAATTCTTAACCGGTTACCATGCTGATTTGGCGAGTGATGTGGTATCCAACTCAATATTATTTGTTGTTCAACCCGGTTTCATCTCACCACTAACTACATCAGCATGGTAACCGGTTAATGCTTTAACTTGTTACCCGGATACTTAAATGTTTAAAACTTTACATCTTAGTTACCAAAATAGAAGTTTTAAAAGTAAGTTATCTAAAATAAGAATCAAATTAAAGTACGTTACTTTTTCATACAATTTATTTTTTTTCCAAATTCAGATAATTTCACATGTTGTTTACAACTTTCTCTATTTTAAAAAAAGTTTTAAGAATCTGTTAAAATAAAAATCCTTAAAATCTTTATTTTAAAAAATCTGTTAAAAATGCCTTAAGATTTGAGGTATTCAATTAATTCCTTTTAAAAAATATATATTAAAATAACAATAAAAATACAAAAATCTTACTGAACAATTATAATATCTCGTTGTCGTGAGGCCACGTCTGTGTGGTTGATGTGTGAAGGACCCACCGACAGGATAAGATCGGATCACACAAGTGGCTTCTTTGATTCAGTGAGGCAAAATCCATTGATAATAAATACTTTTATAAATTTAATGATTTTATTTATAATTATTTTATATATGAAATAATAGCGTCCAATATAAAAATCCTAAAAAATTTCATTTCCTTAATTAATAATTTGTATTGTATTATAAAATACTTGACAAAAAATTTAAAATTTTTTTTTTATATATAAAGTACTATTTATTTATGCATATTACTTAAAATTCAATATTACAAATATATTGTACGTATGTACAACTTATTCAAGCTTCATGTTTGAATTCGTGTGATTAAATGCAGATAAATATAGTCAAATACAAGATAAAATTTTTATTTTAAATATAAAAAATCAAAAATATAATTAAGATAATTATTGATTTATTACAAACTACTTAATTATTATTCTTATAAAAAATTATATTATTAAATCAAAAATAAATTATTTTGTTAATAAATGTAAATTAAATTATAAAGAATTAAATAAAAAACAAGAATTTTTAAATAGTTAATTTGATACTAATATCGATATATTTATTTTCAAAATTTTATGATATCTTTAAATTTAAATTTTATTCAAAAATAAAAACATTATTTTTTTCTCAAAACCAAATAAACCGTATTATAACATTTACAAAAACATAATAAAACAAAACATTAAAATTGAGATATATTGCACGAGTATCCTTCTAGTTAACTTAGTAATTGTCATTATGTTACTATCTAAAATTAAATTGTCTTTAATTATCTAAGTTTTTATTTAAGTGTCTTTCTAAAATACATTTTTTTTATAATTAAGAGGACCTAATCAAATGAAAAATCTCATATATTGGTATAAATGTGATAATTATTATCGTAAAATATTGTTTCACATGATGTTTTCATCTACGACTATAATTTAGTATATTGATTAACATATATTTGTTTCACAATGTGCTTGTTTCATATGTATTTGGTTCACAATGCAAAACTTTTTGGTCGTATTTTTTACATCACAAAAACATAAAAAGATTCACATTATAAAACAAATATATGTAATCAATACAGTAAATATAAAATAGCATATGATATATCAGTTTTAAGGTTATCAGACCTCTTTTATTTAAAGGTTAGATGGTCTAAAAAATAAATTATTTAAATATCTATAATTTAAAAAAACATTATGAAAGTCCACATTTTTTACGTGAATTTCGAGTCTTAGAATAAATACTTTTCAACTATTAGACATTTAAATTGACTTTTTTAAACAATAAAATAAACCATCTACTTTAAGTTTATAAAAAATTGTTTTTTAAATTAAAATTTGAATAAAAATATGGTCATTTTATAAGCAAATTTCATCATGAAATCCAACATGTGATTAGTTAAGATGAAAAAGTAACGTATTTTAATTTATTATTCAATCCAATTTCATCTAATCATTCGTCACATCAGTATGATAATTCGTTAATGTTTCAACCGGTCATCCGGGTACTTAAATGTTTTAAACTTTACATCTTATATACCAAAATGTAAGTTTTAAAAGTACGTTACCGAAAATAGGAATCAAGTCAAAGTACGTTAATTTTTCCATGCAATTTGGCCTTAATTAAATAGCAAACAATGTGGCAATCAAGTTTTGTTCAATTTCTGATTTAGTGGCCGTTTGTCAGACGTTTACAAAGTAAGCAGTTATTAATTGTCACTTTGGTTTAGCGGATGAGTATGTCAAATATCAAGAATCTTACTCAATAAAAGGTATAGCAAGAATTGAGAATCTTATCCAGTAAATTCAACTATTTACAAAGATAAGAGTTTTTTTTTTACTGTCTGATAAATAAATTAAAAATTAAATTTGCAATAAACTCCTCTAATGGATCTTTCTTAGTCAAACGATTTTGACTTTTAGCCATTCCTACATCATTTTTTCTTGTGGTGTGAGTTGTGACTTGTGGATTCGTAAGAAAATCTAGAAAAAAAAATTATATGAATTTATTCCATGTGATATCTGGTGTTTTTTAATATTCTTCTACAATTATTTAGAGTAAATTACGTTTTTCTCCTTATGGTTTGTTCAGAATTATTATTTTCATCCATATAGTTTATAATTTATGGTTTTCGGTCCCTGTTATTTATAATTTATTGTTATTTTCATTCTTTTGATTTACAATATATTGGTGTATCAGTCCGTGGGGTTTACAGTACTTTACTATTTTGATTCCTTATACATGCGTTTGGTACATGAGATATGGCAGGACAAGACGAGACGTGATAAAACTCATTGTTCCACGTTTGGAGTGACATGAGACATGACAAGAACTCACTGTCTCATGTTTGATGCGACATGGGACAATGACAAGAATTGCGACAAGGTGGGACCGCGTCGAACAAAAAAAGTTTTTCCTTGTTTCACCAAAATAGGTGGAACAAGATGGGACAAGAACGAGACATAAACTAAAATATTATTAACTAACCCGTGTTTGATATATAACTTTAACATGATATTTGTTTTCGTGGTCACCACGGCTAGTTGTGGTCGCCGCCACCATCGGTAGCCACCGTCGACGACCTCCCCCTCTCCTACCACTTCCACAACCACCATCGACCGTCTATCACCATCTCCACAACCACCATCGGCCACCTACCTACCCCGTTCATCACCGCTACAACCATTGGTTAGCTCCACCTTCTCTTCTACTACAACAACCTCCTCCACCACCTTCACAACCATTGTCGTCCATTGACCACCACCAACACTACCACCGTTGGTCATCTCCACTTTCTCTTCTACTACAACCTCCTCCACCACATCCACAACCATCGTCGTTCACTGACCACCACCATCCATTGCCACCACCACTACTACCGGTGGTGACCTCCACCTTCTCTTCTACTACAACCTCCTCCACCACCTCCACAACCATCGTCGGTCATCGACCAACACCGTTCATCGCCACCACCATGGGTCACCTCACGTCCACCATCGACTACCACAACCACCGCTCGCCTCTACCACCGACTACCACTATCGACCACCATTATTGGCTACCACTACACTATCTACCATATTCATGTCCCCCACAACCACAATCGTCCATCTCCATCACCACTAGTATTGTTGGCTACCACCACCTCAACCATAACCACCACCATCACAACTACCTCCACCACATAGGCCACAACTACCTCCTCCACCATTGTCGACTGCCACCACCACTACTATCCACCATTCACGTCCCTACAACCACTATCATCCATCAATTACCAATGTTTCTACCTTCACCAATTGATAAGGATCTTCCAAACCAAATAAAATATATTTTTCCTTTGTATGATTGGGTTTTATCAAAATACCATCGATTATATCAAAAATTTCATTCAAAATTGGTATTATTCTATATTTATGTATATGAAAAATGTGTAAAAATATTTATAAATTAAATCATTTACTTTATTTGTGTTAATTATAACTATTATATAATATATAAAATCATAAAATAACTTTTTTGGGGCCAACTTATCTAGTTCTGTCATACTCAGTCCTAGTCATACCAAACACCAGACATACACTTGTTTTGTCCAGTCCTATCAATATCCAGTCCTACCGTCTTGTCCTGCTCAATCAAGTTTGCGTACCAAACGCTACATAAAGGTAGAAATTAGTCTGAGAACGAAACAATAAATCGCAAACAATAGGGACAAAAATCACAATTATAAATTATAGGGACACAAATATAAATTATTAACAACCCACAGGGACGAAAATCATAATTTACTCATGTATTTATTACAAAAATATCCTTTTTTTTTACATTTTTGCTCAAGTCCTTTTCATTAATTGGGTCAAACAATTTATGTTAACCAGAGTTATTTGCCCCTCACATGAAGCGCAAAATGTACCTTCTAATTCTTCCTTGTTTTCTAAAATAAGTAAAAAACGATAAATCTCGCCCACCATCATCAAGAACATATGAACGTCAAAAATCCTAAATTAAACATAAATCCAAACTCAAATAATATATGAAAAACATAAACAATAAATGTATACATATATTCGTTAGAGAAAGAGAAAGAAGACAAAAGGTGTCTCGGGTTTTTTTGGCATTTTGTTTTGTTAAAAAGATAAGAAATTATAAAGGTGACGCTATTGCCCATGGTGGTGCCGTTTAACAATTGCAACTTAAAAGTTGTTAGTGGAAGGAGCCAAAACCAAACAAACGGTCATATAATAAGGTTTTGTTCTGCAATAAATAAATTGTAGGGATCAAAACTAAGAGGTCGTTTACCAAATGTTTATTTGGGTAAGTGATTACGGGTAAAATGAAATATTATTTCTTACTTACCGGGTAAGATTTTAGTCCACCAAAACGGTATCGTATGCAACAATTTACTCTGTTAGCGCTAACTGTGATAAGAGTCGTCGCTTTCATTTGACGGGTAAGACTCTCGGTCATTGCCTTCGCTCTTACCGGGTAAGGTTCTTGGTTTTTGCCATATACATTCGGTAAAGTAATGTGACTTGGTAAGCGCTTACCCAATTAAGCCTTTGTTTACCAAATTATTACGGAGTAAGCACTTACCAATAAGAATTACCACCCTCTCTTACCTTGTAGCGTAACATTCTCGGTCATCAAAATTAATTGTTTATAAAAGTCTCTTACCCAGTAAACGCTAATGGGTAAGAGTCTTCTCTCTCATTCACCGAGTAAGAACTTCGGTTGTTGCCATGACTTTTACCTGATAAAATTTTTGGTCCTTATCATGCTCAATTGATAAAACAAATGACTTAATAAACGCTTACATGACAAAATTGATAAGTAAACTCTGATAAAGTCAAGGGTTCACAAGAACCAAATCCATAATTGAAACTAAAAATATTTTAAATAAAAGGATGATAATTTTTTTTATAAAATTTGGATTCGGTCCCCCATGTTTGCAACTTGTGATGAATTTCCTCTCTAATCTTGATTTATTTTGTATTTGTGTCTCACTTATGCAAAATTGCTCAGTTTTAGTCCTTCTTACTAACGAGTGTTAACTCTTTTTATTAAATCCAATTTATTCCATGAACATTTTGGTCTTTTTCATCATTTCCTTGAATATATATATATATATATATATATATATACTTGAGATTATATGAGACCAAGGGTTTTTCGTGAGACCCATAAGACCAACTCTCAACCTTTGGATTAGATCTACAATCTGAACATTCATAATCACAAAATTGCTACGAGACTTCTCAATAATCACAAAATTGTCACCGTACAACTTTAGACCATTAGATCATTAGCTTATAAAGTTGATCAATGAATATAAATTGGTCTACGAATCTCACGAAATAATTCTTGGTCTTAAGTGAACCCAACCCTATATATATACACACACACTATATATATATATATATATATATATATATATATATTAGTAGAAAAATAACAAAGGAAACCCTGCCCTTCGTCCCAACTCTCTCGTATCTTTAAATTCTCACATCTTTCATATTCTATCGTGTTGTAGAACATCCGCTTCGTCTTTCTTTTGCCAGGTGAATCTAAAAGACGAAAAAGAAATTAGTAGTAGAAGAAGTCGGGAGTTTGAGAATATGAGGTCACAAATGGACGTTAGTGTAGTTCATCCCTGTGTACGAGTGTATGACGATTTGAAGGGGTGTTTTTCTACCGTATGTTATTTATATAACATGATATTAAATATATATAATAATTTTATCCTTTTTTAAATATAAAAATAACAAAAACCGGTAAAATTAAATAAAATGTTAGGGACGAAATTCGTTGGATTTTGCAAATATACGGGAGACAAATACAAAATAAGTAAAGAGAGGGACCAATTTCGTTAAAAGTAGGAACCATCAGGGACCGAATCCAAAATTTACCTTCTTTTAAAGTGGAATTTAAATTCAGTCGGCATTGGTCGACTAATCAATAAAAGCTTTCGGGAGGCTCCTTTCGACGGTTACAGATACCAGATCACATCCCCACTGATCGACGCCGGCCACATGGCCTACAATTCGCTGTTCCTCGTGACAATCTCAACTGTCCTCATCTTCACCGTCGCCGGCCGTGTAATCACCACCACTTCATCATCAGATCTCGTCTCTGACGGCGTTCACGATGAATATGGAGGTATACTTCGTATCAACCCCTTTGTATCAGCTGAAGAGTCGGAATCTTGCGAGCAGACGTATGGATTCATGCCTTGCACCAACACAGCTCTTGGAAATCTCTTCCTCATTTTGGTTTATGGTTACCTCATGTTTCTCGCCGCTACATATCTCTCTGCTGGTAGTGAGCTGCTATTGGAAATTTTAGGGCCAGGTCTTGTTGGCGGTCTCTTGCTTCCTAGTCTCGGCGCTCTTCCTGATGCTATGCTTATTCTCGGTAAAAAAAAAAATAACGATATAAACTACCGATTTATCTCTAGTTCTAACTTAATGTTGCCTTTTGTTTTGGTTCGCTCTCACTTTTCAGACACAAATTTTTAAATGGCTGATTAGCTTAGGTTCGTGTTACATCCAACATACTGAAAATGGATTTCTGTATTATGATATCTGAAGTAAATTTTATTGAGTTGATTCGTTAATCGTCATTAAGATCTATGCTTCTTTCGTTTTTGTTTTTATATTTGGATTGCTTGCTGCTGGAAATTCTAAAAAGGTGCATAACATGTTAACACTCTGTTCTACGGACTAACAAATTTAAGGGGCTGTTTGGGTGGTTTTTCTTTAAGTCCCGATAAAGCTGTCTGGGCGGATTAATCTATCGGTATAAATTTGGAAGGTATTTTCGAGAGGGTATTTTCGTAGATGGAAGTTGTGTTTTTAAATTGGGAAGGGCAGGTTTGGAAAAAACTTGGTGCCACTTTCTATATCATTGAGCCGTTACCAAACAGTAAATGTATATCGAACAAGCAGTGAGTCTCATTAAGCTTAATGCTAACACACATGCCCTAAGTTGTTGATGAATGTTTTGCCTGTATGCTTCCCGCCGAATCAATCTTAGGACTTACTCCTTTTGTAATTTTCACTTCCAAACTTGGTTTTCTCGACGTATACTTGCTAACTAATTGTTATTCTTGGACAGTCTGAAGCTTAAAATCAATTCCATGTAAATCAAGTAGGGTAGCTAAATCCTTCACTATCTGTGAGAAGTAGGCAGCTCTAATTTTTTGTTATTCTACCTGGAAGTGGAGCAGTGATCAACATGCTTGGCTTTAAGTAATCAAGTATAAACCATATAACCTCCATTAGTTGTATTTGTACCTTTTAGCTGGAACATCAATGGAGCTCAGGTAAGTAATTCCCAACATTTTCGAGTGGGAAATGAGCATGTATAGGTTAGTGGTAATACATGCTTTGTCCTTTTCAAGTTTTCTTCCACAAATTGTAGATACATGCTTCATGTATGTTTTGTATATATCTCATGATCTACTTGTTTCTTGTAGTATCTGGACTATCTGGAACTGTTGAAGTTGCTCAGGAACAGGTCTCTGTAGGAATGGGTTTATTAGCTGGTTCGACGGTCATGCTTCTTACTGTAATATGGGGAAGCTGCGTCATCGTTGGCAAGTGTGATATACAGAACTCGGTTGCTATAGATAAACAAGATACTAAAGGATTTAGCTTAGTAGGTGCGTCCCTTGTCTTATCAAACATACTAATACACGAAATGTTTTCAATTTCTTGTTTCATGAAGTCAAGCCATCTTGAGGGTAAATCATTATACTTTTACAGAAACATGATTGTTAAATGATCAATAACACAATGGTGGGAGCCTTGGTGTTCTTTTAATTTTGATGATGGTTAACTGATTAGGATCACTAAACAGAGACAGTGAGACACCACCTTTTTCCCTTCAATCTCATGTATTGGGTTTTTTGCTGTCTAGATACCTTGTCAGGTCCTCAATATTTATCCTCTTAATTAGATGCTTTTCCCTTTGCCACCACTGAAAAAAATTCCTCCGTCACATTATGTTCAAAAATCATAACTGTTTTGAAGTGATGGGGACGGTTATGTTTATCTGGGGATAGTTCAGCAGCAAGGATGCAGATTAAATTGTTTGCTTTGGCAGTTTGTGTTCACATAACTGAGAGAAGGTGTCAAAGTTTTAATTGTTTTTTAACATGTTAGAGGATGGACATCTGGAGAACTAAAAGGAGCCATGCGTGACAACAATACCATAAAAAGTTTTTAGAAATGGTATCAAGAGTTTCCTTGGCAAGTTCGAGACTTTATATTGTAGGCTGATTCTTGTCTATGTTGTATATGTCACTGCAGGCTCTGGTGTCAGTACTGATATTTGGACAAGCTATTCTGCCATGATTATGGCTGTATCTGTACTCCCATTTATAGTTGTCCAGTTCCCACAAATTATGCATTCATCTTCTGGAAGACACTTGGCAGTTTTAATTGGTTTTATAGTCTCGGTTTCTTGTTTAATTGCATACTGCCTTTACCAGGTAAATTATTCATACTGCACTGCATTTCTTTAGAGTTTGACCGTTTGAGGATTAAATGTCTATATTGTGCTTTTTTGTTGGTTATATTAATGATGATGGTGGATGAATATCTTACATTACTGGTTATGTCTCATCCATGGCAGTTCAAGATATGTATTTTTCCCTTTGGTTAGACATCAATGACGTTAGCTGATGGAACATTATGTGGCTATGTATTCTAACTGTGGTACATAAAATTTATAGGTTTGATCCCCGTGCATGATTTTCCAAAGCTAACTATATCCAACTGTTATTAAAAAACCCTAAAGAAGTCTGTCAGCCACAAAAATCGAAAGCCATCTTCCATGTCTCTCTCTTTGTGAGTTCTGGTCCACCCTTATTCAGACTGTTCATTCAGCACATCAACCAAACAACAATTTAGCCATACCCTGTACTCACAACTAAATCTCTACATACAACTTATCCATACATGGCTTAATGAAAAAACAACCAAAGAACTCCTAAGTGAAACTACTCTCACCAACTAACAATCCCCTGCATTACCCACTGTACTATAGCCTACTATATTGACTATTTGACTACCAAAATACCCAGGGTGTGACAGACTAATTAAAAAGAGACATGACTTAATCAGTGAGTCATGGTGCTGATGTTTTTTCCGTTAAATCGTTACTTATACCATGGTTCCCTCTTTATTATATCCATAGAAATCCTCAATACACAATAACATAGAATTTCATGTAAATAATTCATAAATTGTATACTTTTTTGTCGTTTAGAATTTTCATTCAGAATGTTTATCAAACAATCATTTTTCATTCAATTCTAATTCCAGACAGGGTTGAGATAGCAACTTTTTGTCATTCGAACTATTCCTTCAGCACAAAAACAAACAACAATTGATAAACCCTACTTGTGGCAAGTGAGGCAACACTTAATAGAAAAAGGTCCTAAGTGTGGTTTTAGTCTTTTAGATTAAAAGAACATGACATGGGAAACAAATGTGAACTATTTGAAGTTGTAGGAAAATAATAAATGTATTTTTGGATAATAGCATGAAATTTGGTTGAGATCAATTGACGGCGTGAACTGGTAAATATCAGACCCTGTTGCATTCATTTTCTATTTCCTTTGTATAGTCATCACACATTCATATGGTGGGGTGAAGGCATCAGACTTAAGGTGGGGTTTTGAAAGAATATATGTGTGTAATTCTATTGAAGGAAACTATTACTTTTACTTTTGTCTAGTTGTGACTATTCTGGCCATTTAGATTGGATTTCAACTGCTTTTTTCATGTTTGATGTTGATGTCATTTGAGAACCTTTTGCAGGTTCTGCAGCCTAAATTGCAGAAGAGACGCCTTGCTTTTGCAAAGCATAAGCATGTAAAATCAAGATTTCTCCAGTACTTGAAGAAGCATGCACTTGGAAGACTCTTAACCGATCAAGGAGAACCTAACCGAGAAGTTATGCAAAAGTCAGTTCCTTTACAACTTTTGTGTATCGACAATATCTGTCTCACATTATAACCTTTTTTGGAATCTATGACAGGCTATTTCACTCCATTGATGTGAACAAAAATCAACATCTTTCACGTGCTGAACTAAGGGCACTCGTTGTCGGAATGCAAGTATATGAAATAAATTTGAATGAAGATGATGCTGTTGATAGAGTTATGAGAGATTTTGACAAGTCTGAAAATGATGAGATTGATTTTGAGGAATTCATGAATGGAATTGGAAAATGGCTTCAGGAGGCCAAGGGGTCCAAAGTAGATGTTCATATTGCTGGTCCTGACACATTGAAGTACATTCATGACTATTATGAGGTATGTGTTTTGGTTGGATGTCGACTAAAGCCCACTATGTTTTGAGTTCCAACGATCAAGTAATAATAATAATGAGATTGAGTAATGGAATTGAAGTAGGGAAAATAACGTAAGGTAAATGACCCGTATCACCTGTTGACATGGAAAACCCCTTAGAATGGGTAAAAAACGGGGGAGTCACTGATCAGCTAGTCGTTCAAACGGAGGGCGTCAAAGCCAGTTACAAGTAATCCTTCTCAATTGAATACAAGAATTATGGAAGAGAAGTAAAGTAAAGTACTTCGGTATCTTCCTGTAACTCAGGTGGTAGGGTCCTGTGTGTCTAAGTGACCTCTGATGCCCTTGGTTACAATAGATGGTAGGAAGGGTTCTGGAGAGATAGAGGCTGGGGGTAGGATTAGGGAGCTAGCAGACTAGATATTCTGAGTCCTAGGTTAGACTAGGGGTGTGTAGGTTTTCCTACCTTGGTTATGTTTTCTTGTACACGCTTCTGTATGCCTCGTTTGTTTGTATGTCTGTTCTGATTGTTGTTGCTTATTTCTAACTCGTTTTCTTTGTAGCGATGCTTTAGTATTTTTCAAGTTGTTATGTTCTTTCTCCGCAAATTTTTTGAGCTAAGCTTTACCCTTTCTTTTTGCACACTTTGCACAAGTCGATGATTTTCACGGAAACAGCCGCTTTACTTTGAGGTAGAGGTCAAGTCTGCTACATCCCACCCCTCCCCCACCCCATCTCGGGGTGGGACTTACGAGGTTTGGTTTGGGTTGGTTTTGTCTGCGATATATACAGGGACAGGTTCCCTTGAACTCTTTTTTCATTGAGAACGTGGGACCGCCCACATTGTGACACGTGGCATATACATCATGAATATGGACGTGTTATTCATCATGAATGTTATAACATATTCATTATGAATGTGCAATTCATAATGAATAACACGTTCATATTCATCATAAATCTGTTATTCAATATTCATGATAAATATTCATCCTGGAGAGGGACACATGGCATGTTGTGGGTGGTTTTTTCAACGAAAAACTGATTCTCAACCAAACTTTCCTCTCTCTCTCTCTCTCTACAATTCTATATATATGTGTATATATGTTATAGCATTATGACATAAAGAATATGCATTTCTCAGGAGGCTAAGAAAGAACATGATCTTCTGGGGGACGACGCTGGTGAAGACGAAGAAGAGGGGGTAGATGATCCTCGCCGGACAACCATAAAGGCCGTCCTATTTTTGTTACTGGGCTCTCTTATTGCAGCTGTGGTTGCTGATCCTCTTGTAGATAGCGTTGGCAATTTTTCTAATGCTACCGGTATCCCTTCTTTCTTCATCTCATTCATTGCATTGCCTTTAGCAACCAACTCCAGTGAGGCAGTGTCTGCAATCATCTTTGCCACCCGTAAAAAGAAGAGATCTGCCTCTCTTACATTCTCAGAGGTAAGTCTTTCTTTCTATTTTTCTGCAAATTGTGCATGTATTCTTTTTCATGACAAACCTGATTGACAACCATCGAACCCGACAGTAAATAATTGACGGTTTACAATACTACAACCAGGTTGAAATGAGAACTATAAATATTTTGAGAACCGAAGAACCAACTATTCATTTATTATTCATTGAAAATTAGATGGACAATATGATAATACATGATGAAATGCATGATATTGATAATAAATACTATTGATGAATTTTTTTAGGGTTATTCATCATGAATAATACATGGAATAGTTAATATTTATGGTTCTCATTTGAACTTTCGTATTCGCTTAGTATTCCTAGAATTAAATCTCACACGGGTTTTTGGTAGTGGCCAGAGTAAGGTGTAAAATGTTCTTCTAGAATTCTCATCTCCAATCTTTTATAATGAGCTTGAAATCCCTGAGAGCATATACATAAATACAATTTTTCAGGATCCAAATATATAATACATCATTCTCCTCTTTCAAACTTGTCAAAACTTTAGTACCAATTTTTTCTAGCAAAATCCTATTCTCTAAACCATTCTACAAGCCATGACTCTTTACAGGAAGAGTCTTACTCTTCCTGGTGGTAGAGGCTCAAAATGCATTTTGATGATTTTAGTGTATTAATGATTTTGGTGTAATTGTGATTTACTATAGATTGATTAGGTGAAAAGTGAGTTAGGAGGTGCAGAGTACACACTCACAAATGTTGTCTTTATCGTCTTAAATCGCCATAAGGCGAGAGTCAAGGGGGTTGCGCCCTTGGACGCGGTTTTACTTAGGAATTTTAAGTTTCAAAACGTTTTAGATATAATTCGAGGAGGTCGGAAATCTTCTTGAATTAGTTCTGAAACTTAGTAGTTTTGATCAAATATAAATCATAAGGTTCTCACTCGAGCATCCGAGTCATCTGATCTGAGCTTCAAAGCTTTCAGCTAAGAGCTTCCAAGTCTTATGGACTTCAGGACTTGGTGCTTTCGACTCAAAGCTTCTGAGTCAGTTGTAATTGTTGTCCAACCTTATTCGTAAGCAGTTGTAACTACCATATAGTTACGAGTGACTCGATTTTACAGCTTTTAGGTGGCGTTTGGTTCGCAAAATGTTTTTGGATGGAATAGAATCTGTTAAAGGAATTTGACTTTAAAAGGATTGGAATGCAATATTGTCAAGTTTGATCACCTATTTGGTTGGCAGGATTAGAATGGAATTTGTTAAGGAATAGGAATCTGTCTGTTTGGTTCATAGAATGTAACTTTGAAACTGGAATGAAATATTGCTACACTGGAGCGTTTACTTCATTTAATCAATGTTATTGCTAACTAGAGCGGGAAGAATGAATTTGATTGATTCAACTTATAAGACGATTTTTATCAGCCATAGAAAAGAAAGAAACTTCATAGAAGTTGAACTCTTTCCTTTTTTTGCCCCTATGTCGCCACACAGAGGGTATGGGGACGTAAAAAGGGGCCATCGAACAGCTGGAAAAACCCGGGTTCGCTTATGGAAAGTAATCAAGATTTCTCTAGTACCCTATATCAAATCATAAAAATAAAATATATTCTAAAAGGAGAAGACGCGGTTCAATTTGTGCTATCCGCCCTATGAATTCCATCGGACCCAGAAATGATACATTGGAAGACCCGAATGACCAAAATGCCCTTTTTTTTAATTTTTTTTAAACTAAAAATATTTTAATAAAATAATTATTTAATGTGTAAAAAAATATAAAATACACAACCCAAATAATTATTTAATAAAATACCCTTCCCTATATTTTACCAATATAACCTCAAAATAAGACCTAATTTTCTTTCTTCTAAAACATCAATAAGTCTTCCTTTTTACATTTTATTCATTTCTTTAAATCTTAGTTATTGTATTTTATGTTATTTAAACTTTCAATTTACTGTCCTCATAATATTATTTTTATATGGTTTCTATATTTAGATGAACTTATATAGTTTATTAAATATTAGTAAATAAAAATAGTAATATATAAAATATTAAAATAAAAATTGAAAACTACATAAACTTTTTATTTTGGTATCATCTCAATCGTCTTTTAATGATATATTTTGTTATAAAAAAATATTTATTTTATTATAACTTAATAAATTTCATAATTAATCAAGATATATAAACAACTCATTAGGATAAATTGGTTATTTTATCTTGTGTAGTATTGTCTTACCAAACGCTAAACAACTGTTAAGTCTTAATTTGTTCTGTTCTATCCCTATCTAGATACAATGCACCCTTAAGATTAGAGTTTTCATTTGGATTATCCGAATACTTTAAATTTGTGACACCCAAGTCTAATAGGGATGGATTATCGTATTAGGAAAGCGAATAATACGTGATCCAAGTGATTATCTCGTCTTTGTGTGATCAACAACAATCAGATTCTAACATCCATACATCCTATCTTCCCTAGACCTTGTCATGTGGGTTGGGTTGGGTTTGGTTTGGTTTGGTTAGGTTAGGGGATCCTTATTTGATGGTTTGTGTTTGTGTTGCAGTTATATGGGGCAGCAACCATGAACAATGTACTTTGCCTATCGGTATTCTTAGCTCTTGTTTACATGCGGGGATTGACGTGGGATTTTTCGTCAGAAGTCCTGGTTATTGTGATTGTTTGCGTTGTGATGGGCGTCTTTGGTAGTTGGCGAACCACCTTCCCTCTATGGACATCTTTCATCGCTTTCTTTCTCTACCCGTTTTCCCTCATCCTCGTATACGTTCTTGACTATGTTTTTGGTTGGTCATAGATTTCAAATCTTTTTCGGCATTACAACCATCTTCATCGTCACAAGTGAGATTAGGTAGAAACTAAAAGTTATGAGAACCTTAATTTCACTGCTTTTGTTTATCCGTATTTAGCCGATTTGCTGTCATCTTGTTCTGTAACTATTACTAAAAGAACTTCAAAAGGCGTTGGTTTGGTCCAGCACAATCTTTAGGTTTTTCTGTTGCCATTGCTCCAGATTTCTTGGTTAGATGTTGCTGGGTTTTATTTACAACATATATATCTATATCTATATTGGGTTGAGTTCACGTGAGACCAATGGTTTTTTCGTGAGACCCGTAAGACCAATTTATGTTCATTGATCAACTTTATAAGCTAATGATCGAATGGTCTAAAGTTGCACGGTGACAATTTTGTGATTATTGAGAAGTCTCGTGGCGTTTATGAATGTTAGGATTGTTAGATTGTAGATCTAATCCAAGGGTTGAGAATTGGTCTTATGGGTCTCACAAAAAACTCTGGTCTCACATGATCCCAAGTCTATATATATATATATATATATATATATATATAGAGGAGAGATCTTTTACGGATCCAAGCATAGTACAAATCATATAAACCAATTAATTGAGATATTTATAGAAATGATGAAAGTTTATTTATTATGATTTAGATATTTATGCGAGAGTATCATAGTTTATTTATTAAAATATGATATTAGGAAGCAGTCGAGACATTCATTAAATCAAATATTCATTAGATTATATGAACAGTTGTGATTAGTTTGTATTAGTGGTTGGATTTGTGACGGAACCACCTCATTATTTATATAAGTATTTACACACTTTCATCTTTGATGAAATTTGAATACTTGACCTCTAGAAATGTTGGTATCTATCGGTAACTCGAGTACTATTAGGCTATTGGTCCTTTGGTTGCTGTATGGAAGATATTTGTGATTTTACTTTCTATATAAACCACTCACTCCTCCTCCATTTAATTTTATTTTGAGAAGAATAATAAAATAAAATAAAAAAACATCCATCTCTCCCTTCATTCAATCTTATTGGTAGGTTGGGGAATTTTTTGGAAAATAAGACTCGGGACCGTTTATCAAACATTTTTCTGGTAAGTGTTTATCGAAAAAAATATCATTATTATGTACTTACCGGGTAAGATTTTAGTTCACTAAAACGACATAGTATATAACAATTTGTCCGGTAAGCGCTTACCGTGGTAAGAGTCGTCGCCCTCACTTACCGGGTAAGACTTTTGGTCTTTGTCTCGTTCTTACCGGGTAAGATTCTTGGTCCTTACTATATTCATCCGGTGAGGTAGTGTTACTTGGTAATCGCTTATCCGGATAAACGTTTGGTAAACGGCCTCTAATTCTATCTATATATCCTTTTATTTGGTGGATTTGTCCAATTTTGTTTTTTCACTCTTTTTTTTTTTTTTCATTTGGGCAGATTGCATGAAAAAGATAACGTACTTTAACTTGATTTTTATTTTGTGTATCGTACTTTCAAAACTTTCATTTTGGTACTTAAGATGTAAAATTTTAAACATTTAAGTACCCAAGTAACTGGTTGAAGCATTAACCGGTTACCATGTTGATGTGGTGACTGATATGGTATCCGGATTCAACAAATAATATTGAGTTGGATACCACATCGCTCGTCACGTCAACATGGTAACCGGTTAATGTTTCAACCGATTACCACATTACTCGTCACGTCAACATGGTAACCGGTTAATGTTTCAACCGATTACCACATTACTCGTCACGTCAACATGGTAACCGGTTAATGCTTTAACCGGTTAACTGAGTACTTAAATGTTTAAAATTTTATATCTTAGGTACCAAAATGGAAGTTTTGGAAGTACGTTACCCAAAACATGAATCAAGCTAAAGTACGTTATTTTTTTCACGCAATTTGCTCTTTTTATTTCGATGAAGTTTGAGTAAAAAAAATCTTTAAAATCTATCATTTTTTCTATATTTTAAAGAAGTTGTTAGAGATGTTGTCGTTTAAGGACCACATCTTGTCATATATGTTAGGCTTTTTAAGTAACACATATTCTCTTTAACTTTTTGTTATCTTTGATAACAAATCCAAGTGTTTGATTTCCTTTATTTTGTTTGTTTTCCATCAACATCCAAACAACCTCAACAATGAAACTGAAAAGTGAGGTGGAAACATACCATAAAGTTTCTACCAAACAAAATATGTAAGAGGAATCAAAATGACAATAAAGAATTTAAGTCTTTTAAGAACATACTATATTAAAATGACAATATTCTCCCCTTTTTATTTTGAAAAACTCCAATTCTGAAAAACCAGATGAAATCAACGTTGTTTTCGTTTTTATGTTAAAAAATATGATATGTTTTATCAGATCCCTTAAATGAATGAAGCCAATAAATAACAGTAAACTATAAATTTGGTCTATAGTTTTAAAATTATAATATGGTCATCATGGTTTGTGAAAACGTCCATATTTGATCCCTTTCTTTAATGACCATTAAACTTTTTTGCTAAATGAAGGGTATTTTCTTTTTTTTAAAGAATTTCTTTTGTTATTTACCCAATCAAAGGCCACATAGATCAAATCTAAAATCGATTTTGATTGGTTAAAAGACAAAAAATCGATAAAAAGAACGAAAATTCCCCTCATTTAACGGAATTTTTTTGTGGCCGTAATGAAAGGAACCAAAAATCCGCACGTTTTTACAATCATGATGGCCATTTTATACCTTTAAAGCGGCAAGTATGAAAAATGTTATTTTGAAAAAAAAACATGTGAACCAAATTTATAGTTTTACTCAATAAATAATTTAAAATTTGATTTTTGTAAAAATTGTCGTTTTTCTTGAAATGCATAAAAAAAAGATGTATTTCAATTTTCAAGAACTATTTTTGGAAAAATAATGTTAGGTAGGATGATGACCTTTTCTCCAAAAACAGGTCATGATTGCATTTGGGTAATAAACATCGTCTAATTTTGTGTCACCAAATACAGAATAAGAAAGATATAAACGTTATTCATTCAAGCAATAGAAGCTACGAGCTGGACTATGTTAAAACTGCGGAATTTTATATATCTAACCGTAAACAATGAATGGTTTGGTATAAAATGATTAAGTGATCAGAATGATTAAGAGACTTTTATAATGTAGTGAAATATGAAATATAATTGTCATATAATTATTCAGAATGAAATTAAGATGCTGAATGGTTTAGAGAGGTCAAAGGTACAAAACCACATTCAGAGGGTTTTAGAACCATTAAGAGACGGACCTTTTTTTGACAAACAAGATTCATCATTTAACGATTCAAATGTTATCTCTTAATGGAACTATTAATAGGTAAACAAAATAACCTCTTATGCATCATACGTAAGTTTGCAAATATAAAACTCAGGAAATTAATCGGTGAAAATAAGATTCTTTTTTGTTATAAAAATTTGATTATTCCAATGTTATATGTTTTCAGTATCTTTACAAGAATAATCAGTTTGTAACGAAAATAAATACGATGGTAAACCACAAGGGTGGTGCCTGATTGGTTTGAGTTTGGCTCCAAAAGTCAAAAGTACCAGGAGGTCCCGGGTTCAAATCCAAGGAGGAACAAAAATCCCCTTGTGACCACGGAGGTTCAAATGCTGTGACTCCGGGCTATCTGCAAAGCAGGTGATCGCCCTGGGATTAGTCAGCTCGCATAACGGGTTGGATATCCATGTTAATCAAAAAGAAAATACGATGGTAACCACAAGGGTTGTGGTATAGAGGTTGAGGTCCAACGGATTGATTCCAGACATCCACAACAACCATGACCACTAAGTTTATCAGGGTTGATGTCTTACAGTCATAATTTGCCGGCATTAATCCGAGGATACCCTCGAACATCCTTCAAAAAAAAGCTATGGTTTTTAAAAAGTCATTAACAAAAAAATAGCATCCAAACTCAAGAGAGAAATGAGAAAAGACCCCTTCATGATCAACTTTCTAGCATGGTTAGAGGCTAAAAAACCAAATAGCAACTCATGCCAACAAAAATTCAAAATCAAACATCTAATGAAACTGGGCAAAAGGCTTCTTCTACAGCTTCAAATTGAGATCAACATGTTCCACTGCTTCCCCATTGCTGGTTCCAGGAGTCTTTGCTGCTGGAAAGAAACTATGCAATGGCTGTTGGTTTGGCCATTCTCCTCCAGATGGGTTTTTGTGTGTTTGAACCTAAACCAAAAAAGACAACTCACATGTCAAACAGAATGGGAAAGAACTCACTTGATGAGATATGGTAGTGTTAGTTATATCCTACAGATACAGGTACCATCTTCTCTTTTAAACTCGAGTGCGATGCTCGAGGAGGTGCCAATGTGAGAAAATCTTTGGTGAGACCGTGGTTTTCGTCAATAAGTTTCTTGGTCATTTGATCTGTCATCGCACCTAAGCTTGAAGGGGTTTCTCTGCAAAAGGATCTTTAGTAAGAACATTTTGGCAAATTGTTCTGCTTTTCTAAATTCCAAAGTAGTTTCTTCTTGGAACTTTGCAAATGCAAAACCCCTTTAGATTATTATTTCTCCAAACAACATATACGGAGGAGAAATGAGTAAGTCTAGCAGATTTAGGACACTGGCATGCCCTCTCTAAATGAAGGCTAGATGGGAATGGATGTTGGAGTCCCCTCATGATCAAAAGCGGACCCAGAAAAAAAAATTCTAGTGGCGGTACAATTTGACTAGAAAAATATATTTAATTTTTTTTTACAATATTATTATAGATCTGTTATGTGGTTCCTTGTCCTAACATAGAAGAGACCCATGTTCAAGTACTGACGACATATATATCTTAAAAATACAAGAGGTATATAAAAAAAACACCAAAACTAAGCTAAAAACAACAACTTTGACAACATTGGAACTCGAACCCAAGTCTTTTTGTACAAAGGCAAAGCATTTACCATCTCAGTTTCAAAATCATTACGGTGACATCCAACAAAACTATGGTGGTATCCTTCACAAACGTAATATTTTTCCCTTACGACAAAACCATGAAGTGGTGGCCTGTGCCACCGTATCATTCCATGTGGGTCTGCCCCTGCTGATGGTATACGTTAGCTTTGATACCATGTGAGATATGTGAAACCTACTCTCAAATAGGACACTTGAGGACATATGTTGAGAAAAAATGTTCTAAGTTTAGCTGACGCAAATATAACGATTGTCTTAGAACTTGTACAATGTTGCATTTAACCACATATGGATCAAAATGAATTCTGTTTTGTTACCTGAAACTAGGATTGGAAGGCTCTAAACTAGTAGTGCCTCCATTGCTACAAGAAGTTGATTCATCTGGTCTTGAGATTGGAGAGAAAGGGAATTTGCAGTTGAAAGAGGGAATTGGCATATTTTCCATTGAAAAAGGGTATGATCTCTTCATGCCAATCATCTGTTCATAACCAAATGAATAATAGTGTTTAAAAAGATGAACCATGAATAAGGCTCTGCTTTTTGAAATTTGAAATATGTCAAATGAAGGATATAACATAATAAACCTTGTCTTCATCTGGCCACAATGGTGGATAGTTGTTGCCACAATAGCTTTGGTTTGAAGGGGGCTCCATCTGAAAATTCATGACGGATGATGATGATGTCGTTCCTAATGAAACATTCACCTGCAAATATTTCATAATTTTAGTTCATACACTTTTGATTTCAATGCTTTATTGACGATATACAATGAATAAATCTATGAATTTAAACAGAAATATAAGAAAATGAACTCATAAAGACTACCAACCATTGATGAGGAACAGGGTTGCTGAAAAGGTTGTGATCTCTGTGCAATATTGGAGTGCGGTGGCCAAATAGGAGGGTTGGATTCGTAAGGCAAGCCAACTAGATTGGTTGGCATGGCGGTGGCGGCCGTGAATCCACGGTGGTCCAACCCACGATTTTGATTCGGATTCGGATTTGGATTCGGATTCTCCCCATGGAACCTGTACTCACCACCAGTCGATGATCTACTCCAGTTATTACCACCATCACTGCTCGTATGCATTGGCTTAGACACAAAACTAGGATTCACACCATCAGTTCTTGGAATCAGAGGTTGGTGATTCGGCGGCAATGGTGGTGGTAAAGGAACTAACGGCGGCCTGAAATTAGGAACTGACTGAATGTTGGCCAAACAAGAAGAAGAAGTCGCCGGAGATATGATTGAATTAGGTGTCAAAATCCCTACGTCTTTCTTTTGTTGTTCCTCTAATATTATCTTCTCAAGCTGCGCCACCCCCATTCCTCTCTGCGGCACCTTTTTATGCTTCAGCTTTTTCGACGATCTACCACCACCACCACCGCCGCTGCCGCTATTACTACACTTAGGTGTATGTTCTTCTTCAACCATTGAACACGGCCATCTATATCACATTGAATTCATGTATATATATATATATTGACAAAAAGTAAAATCGAGAATCGTGGATTCAACAGATACGATCGAAGTTGCCAATAAATCTAAACGATCAAAATCTATCAAAGCAAATAAAACCGAAAGGTGCATCTATCTAATTGCGTATATCACACAAGATCTCCATAACCTAAATAGAAGAACAAAATCCACAATTGAAAGCTAACATTTCTGAAAATCAGCTGTATGTTGAGCTGTCGGAGAGTCGGATCAAATCACTGAGCAAAAAAACATTTATACGACGAAAATTTCCCCCAAATTCGAAATTCAAAATCCAAAGTTACAATTGGAACGTAATTGTCGCCCAAATCCTCGCTCCACTCCAGTTTTCATTGCTACAACTCCTCTTCCCTCCATCATTCTCTCTCTCTCTCTCTCTCTCTCTATACGTATATATATATATATATATATATATATATCTCACACACACACTCCCACACGAAAACACACACACACACACACATTCCTCAATCGTGTATGGTTTTCATACCTCCAAAAATGACGTTTCAAATTCACCAACGATTATGTTTAATACATAATTGGTAAAACCTTATTCTCCTTTAAATACTTACTTTTAATTGAGATATACTGAATTTATTTGGTTTCAGTATAATTGGTAATACTGAATATATCGTATTAAACTTGACAAATGTATTTTTATTTACATAATCATTTACAAGACAATAAATCTAAAAGTTCATAATATCTGCACACACAAAAACCTGTTGATTCGTTATCGTGTATGAAACAGTATTTTTGTATTTACAGAATGTTTTGAGATATACTGAATTTATTTGGTTCTGTATAATTGGTAATACTGAATATACGGTATTAAACTTGACTAATTTATTTTTATATACATAATTATTTACAGGACAGTAATCTAAAAGTTAATAGTATCTGCAAAGAAAACTGTTGATTCTTTATTGTGTTTGAAACAGTATTTTTGTATTTAGAGAATGTTTCAATTAAAGAACGATATCATTTTTATATGTTACAAAATCAGTATCTATCTTTTTTTATTGATTGATGCTAGATTACGAAGAATGGGTTAAATTTCCACTTGAGATGCTATGAATGTTACTATACTTGTCGTTATATCAGTGGAGTTAAATCTGTCGTAAATTCAAAAACTGATATCTTAAATTCGAAATTTGATACTGATTAATTTCGAACGAGATCATGTTTCATTTTTGATAATTACTTGATACAATCATAACATATGAAGAAACTATATAATAGTTGCATACAAATTGATGAATATGTAATACACATTTGATTTGATTGATTTGTTTTAAAAAGTGATACTAATTGGGTGTTTTAAAAGTGATAATATATAAGGATGATTATGGACTGGGTTGATCGGGTTGAAGACTTTGAATAACTCAATTCAATGTTTGTGGTTTGAAAAATCTTAATCCAACCCAACCTACATCAATGTGCAACCCAACCCAAACCGTACGGGTTGATCGGGTTAGTCGGGTTGGTCGAGTTGATACTTTGGTACATTAAAATATTATTCTAACCTTGAATATGTTATTTCTCTGTTCATAATTTTTTTTATCATCAATGATTTGATACAACTTATTCATACTTCTTACGTATATTACATTCAATTAATTTTCTCAATTTACATATACATGGTCACAGTTATTGAACATATATACGAACGAGTTATATAAAGATGAAGAATAGATTGAAAATATATATATATATATATATATATTTTCAACCTCTATATATATATATAGAGGTTGGTTATTATACAACCCTTGATATTTATGCAACCAATACAACCCAATCTCAACCATCCATTTCATTTGATGAATATGTGATTTCATAGAAGTATTGATTGTTTCCTAATATAAAGTATTAATCATAATTAATGAACTCTATTCATATTCCATAAATATTCAAATCATAATAAATGAACTCCCATCATTTCTATAAATATCTCAATTAATTGGGTTGCAAGGGTTGTACAAATACACAAGGTTGTAAAAGAAATATACCCTATATATATATATATATATATATATATATGGAGAGCGTATGTGTTAGTGTAATTGTCAAATGTATATATTAATATAAACTCAACAATCATATTAAATCCAATAAATAAAAGAATATCGGGTTTATCGGGTTGAATTCAAATAATAGTAACCCAATATCTACGGTTTGAAAATTTTACAACTCGATTAGATATTGGGTTGCTTTAGGTTAAGTTATTTCACATTTGGTTGGGTTGAATTGATCAGATTGATCGAATTGGTCGGGTTTTTGAACATCCTTAAGGGTGCGTTTGGTACGCTGGACAGGGTGGGACAGAACAGGACAGAACACATTTGTCCTACGTTTGGTGTGGCTGAATGTGGAACTAAGTTGGACAAGCATGGGACACGCTTGTCCAACCATTACCCCTGGAACTAAGTGGAACACAAAACTTTTTCCATCATTACCCTTTTTCCCCTACCCGGCTCTCACAAGACCTAACCATCGCCTCCATCGCTTCATCGATCAATGCCTCCATCGCTTCCTTCATCGATGGCGATCATCGACGGCGACCATCGATGGCGACCAGCGACGGCGAGTTCCAATCGACGTCCTTCTCTTCTCCACTGTTCCAATCAACGGTACCGAACTCTTCTCTCCATATCAAATCGACTGTTGTTTCTCGACTGGTAAGTCGTTCGTTGGGGTTTCAATGCCGGATAGATCGTTAACTCATGGGAAAGATAGGGTTGTCTTTAGACCGCCCGAGAGAAAATCATTACTAGGTCAGTATGCTAAGAACCAGATATCTTCGATTTAGCATCTTAAGGTTTAAGTATTTTTGCATCAATAATTAGTCCATTGTGTCTTGTGTTAGATTGAACCAATAATTAGTCCATTGTGTCTTGAATGCATTTCGTAGTGAAAAAACACTAAACAACTCACTGGGGGTAAATTGGTCATTTTAACCAGTTCTGTCATGTCCTGTCCTGTCTTACCAAACGCTGAACAATTGTTCTGTCCTATCCTGTCTCGTCCTGTTCTGTCTTGTCCTGTCCAATCCTATCTGCGCACCAAACGCACCCTAACAGTATATATGTTTGTCAACATCATCACATATGAATATATGTATAGAAAATTCAAGATTTAAGATTTTAAATCATATTATTATTTAGAGTAAATTACGTTTTCCGTTCCTGTGGTATGTTAGGAATTATGATTTTTGTCCTTGTAGTTGAGAAATTGCGTTTTTCCTTCATATGCTTTGTAATTCGTTTGTTATTTTCGTCATTATGATTTATAATTTATTTTTGTTCGACTTGGGATCATGTGAGATCAAAGATTTTTCGTAAGACCCGTAAGACCAATTCTCAACATTTTGATTAGATCTACAATTTAAACATTCATAATCACAAAATTGTCACGAGACTTTTCAATAATCACAAAATTGCCACCGTACAACTTTAGACCATTAGATCATTAGCTTATAAAGTTGATCAATGAACATAAATTGGTCTCACGGGTCTCACGGAAAACCTTTGGTCTCATGTGAACCCAACTCTTGTTGTCCCGGTCTTTGTGGTTTACAATTCTTTACAATTTTGGGTTATTGTACTTAAAATTAAAAATTTACTCTAGGGACGAAAACAAAAATAAATCGTAAACCATAAGAATTAAAATTGCAATTTCTAAAATACAAGGACGAAAATAAAATCATTAACAAACCACATGGACAAAAATCATAATTTACTTTATCTATACTATATTATAAAGTATTTGACAAAAACTCTTGAAAATAATTTTTTATGCATGAAGTATTGTTTATTGATGCATATTACTTAAGGCTTCATGTTTGAATTCGTGTAACTAACTGCAGATAAACACAATTTAGAGAACAAAAATCTTATTTTAATTATATATAAAATCTAAAATATAATTAGGATAATCATAAGTTCTAATAAATAATTAATTATTATCTTTATAAAAAAATTATATTATTAAACCAAAAATAAAAAAATTAAAAGAATTACAAAAAAAAAATTAAATAATTAGTTTGGTACTAATATAAATATCTTTTTTTACAATTATTTATGATATCTTCATCTTTATATATCATTCAAAAATAAAACATTATCATTTTCTCAAAACCACATAAATTTGTATTATATCGATAGAGACATAATAAAAACTAAACATTAAAATGAAGATTTATCTCGTTACATTGCACGAGTACCCGTCTAATTATTTAAAATATCTCTAACCATTAAATCAAATGAGACATTTTGAAACCTTTATATAATTAAATTACTAATTCAAACCATTAAATCACTAGTTTATGCATTTTTCAAAAGCTTGCCCACTTTCTTTTTAAAATTAAAATTTAGATTACATATTTTCTTTTAAATTAAATAATCTAAAATAAAATCAATATTTTATTTAAATAAATTATATCAAATATATATATATATATATATATATGTGTGTGTGTGTGTGTGTGAATTTTAAACGTATTCAGAGTCTCGATTCTACATCGTAATTGATTCACATATAATTTATAATTAAGATTCACATGTGAATCCATATTAGAATTCACATATTCATATATGAATTTTAAATTGATTCAGAATTACGGTTATAAGTTTTAAATTGATTCACGTACAACTTATGATTAAAAATCACATGTTAATCTATGTTATGATTCGATTGTTGACATATGAACCAGTATACATCTGATTATCATCATCTGATGATAGTTTCTTATGATCTTTTGACTTTGATTGCATTTTCAAATAACCAATGAAGTATATCGATGTTCATGTTCACATTTACACAAATGAAAATCTAGTTCGCTTTGTGTATTATAAAATGGTCAATGATTTCAAGGTAGAAAATTCAATAAAAATCATTAATTATCACTATCTAAAAAATATTATAGAAAATAAATT